GAGGGGCAGAGTAAGTACTCCGTACTCCGTACCTAGGAGAAAGAGAGAGGAAAAAACACTGAGAAGAAAAGGTGTGTGCCCCAGAAGCGGCCAGCTCGGAGCCAAGGGGGGATCCCGGCGACCATGGGCCTGCAGTAGGCCCGCATCCCTTTTTTTGCCTTCGGGTGCGGATGCTCTCCCACCCCTGCCGGAGGTTTGGCTCTTGGCAAGGACTTTCTCGGGCGACACCCCCTTCCCTTCCCTTCCCTTCCCTTTCCTCGCAGTGGCCCTTGTCCCTGAATTGAAGGCCTTTCGCTAGTAATGGCTTTGCAGACAGACAGCTTCAAGGTCTCTTTCCGCGGAGGTCCTCCTCTGTAAGCCCTGGGCGGTGCCTGTCCCTCCTCTCCTGCCCTGCTCCCCCCGTCTCCCTCTCGGTGTCCGAACATTGTACCTACAGGCTATGGATACTGCGTCTGCTGCTGCTGTGCGCTGAAGAAGTGAGAGGTTGAGTAACGGATAGGCGGGCAAGCGGGCTTTGGGGGGGTCGGGAACAGGGAAGACGGACTTGGCCCCGAAACCGCGAAACATGTCTCCTCTTGCTGTCTCTCTCATTTTCTCGCTCTTTTCTTCATGGCTAAGCCGGAACGAAGGTTTCTGCCTGGTTTCTCGGTCATTTCTCTAAATTGGCTCCTTATCTCCTTGATATTCGCATGAAGGCTGAGTGAGAGAGTGAGAAAGAGAGGAGCCTGAGGAGATTGGCAGCGTTCTCGCCTCTTGTCTCGTCCCGGTCATTGGGGGGGGGAGAGTTTGCGTTACTAGAGTTAACGACTTACTTTTCGGTCCCTCTTGTCCAATATCCCCCGACAGTCTTAATGCACCCGTGCTATCGAGAAGCTCCTCTCCTTCCCCCATCCACAGGTGCGCGCGTCGTCGCGTTCCCAATGGGAAACGACGAGTCATTGTGGGGGTTCCTCGGTGGATCACCTAGGAGAAAGCAAGAGGAAGAGTACGGAGTACGTACTCACGTACTGTTGTACTGTGCCTCTCGGCCACTGTCTACCAAAGTATTCGTACCCGTACCGTGAGGACGACAACGACGACAGCTTACCGTAGAAACTCGAGCAACTCGAACTTGCGCTAGCCCGTGCCAGCCCTGCTAGCGCTATGGCAGAATCGTAATACTGCCTAAAGTGGTTAAATGCGGCCGCCACCTATTTTTGGCGTAGGTTAATATTTTGATCGATCTGACTAATGAGAGCTCGCCGTCGAGGCCGGACCTATAATTGATATAATTTAATAATTATTTTGGCTTTTTCGTTGGTTTTGAGCTTTTTTTGTCGAATTGGCAAAAAGGGCAAAAGTGTTAATTGGAAGTAGTCGTATGTAAGTAACCGAGCCCCTGATTGTCCCCTGGCTTACTGCCTCTAACGGGCCCCTATTTATACGGCGGTTGGACTGTCGGGTCGACGAACTGCCTATTGATGCCATCACGGACTTCCTCTGCTGTGAAAATGTACTTTAACCCGTCGTTTAGAACAGCGAAGTCTGGAATCTCCTCTTGTAGCGTCTCCTGCTCAATGTGGGCTTCTACGTCGAAGAGCTCCCACCTAGTGTAATCGATGGCCTCGGCGGGTACGTCTTTGATCCGGATCTTGTCGACCTGGCTGCTATCGGGCCGAATAGATATTCCGTACTGTAGGAAGGCCTGGCTGACTATTGAGCCCTTCTCGTGGGCCAATTTAGCGGCTGCCGTTTTGACTGTTTTGGTGACCATTATTCTCTTTATACCTGTCTCCTACTTGAGCTCTTCCTGCTTATTTAGCGCTTTTTCTTCCTTGTTGAGTATGTAAGCGTCGGTTGCTTCTGAAAGCCACTGCTTGAAGGGCTTATTGACTGCGGTATCGAGAGGTTGGAGGAGGGAAGTGGTCCCTGGCGGTATGAGGCAGGGTGTGATGTGGTGCTGACGTAATAGCGTAAGGATGGAATCTGTCTTATGGAAGGAAGCGATATCTATTATTAATAGGTACTCGTCTCCCTTAGTCAGCGTTACTAATTCCTCTTTAATCTATTTTTTGAACAAGTACTCATTGTTGTAGGCAGTCTTGTTGAACTTAACTGTCACTCCTTCTGCGTATAATAGGCCCTCTTTTTTCTATAATTGACCCCCTTCCTCTGCGGGCTTGCTGTGGAATATTATTTTCGGTTTAATTTGTTGTATGCCGTTGGTGAAGATGTAGAGTATTAATGTGGCCTGCCGCTTGCCCTAACCGCTGCGGTCGCTCTTGCTAGCCACGGTTTTGGCCCCGACGTCGTTGTATGTGTAACCGTCTAGGTATTTGAAAGGAACTGGGGTCTCGTCGAGGTTGAGAATTTGCGAGTTAGGAAATCGACGGGCTGGACTTCCGAGTAAATCTCCGACGTTAGACCGTTTTACCTTAGCTAGGGCCATTTGATTAACTCGTTGGATAAAGGAAAGAAAGCTGTTGATAACTTTGAAGTACTCAGTGGGTAACTTCGTTGCCTGTTTGGTAAGTCGACGTTGGGTAATTCTTATACGATTCTGGAAGCCACGAAACTAACCGGGGGAAAAAATAAAAAGATGTTTGCTGTTCGGGTTCTGTTGGGCGAAAATCCGCTTAGCGGTCCTTTTGAACTAACTGGTATTAACGAGCTTTTCCTCACTTTGTCGTTGGCGGAAGGCGCCGTATAGCGCTGTCTCGAGCTCTGGCTACTGAGGGTGGTAGGCGTAGTTAGAGGACCGATTAACGATTAACTTGCGGTTCTGATACCAGGAGATAACCGTGCTTCGAGGGACTTTGAACTAATCTGCGGCTTCCTGGTATGTAGGACGTCTGTATATCCCTGGGAGCTCGGTCTCGCCCTGGCGTAGCCTCGGGGGGTAAATCGACTCTTTGTCGAGCTTCCTCATGCGGTGATGCTCTAAAAACATCAGGACGTTGACTTTGGTATCGTGGGTATAGTGGTGCTGGCGGCGTTTGATTGGGCTATTTTGCGGTGTATATTTCCGGTTTTTGATGGGGGTAGGAGTAGGCCCGCGGCGCTTAGCTGCTGGAGGTGTAATTGGCACTTTTGCCGTATTCGAATCCTTCTTGGTAAGGGCCCGTCGTGAGGGCATCGTGGGCACGTCGACGAGGCCTGTGGTGGAGGTGTAATTGGAGGTATAATTGACAGTATAATTGGTGGTCAAATCGGTGATGTAATCGGTGGAAGTGGGCAGTTGGGTAGGAGTAAAAAATGGAAAATAATCACTTACCGCCTTCCGTATACGGTTTAGTCGATTATATAATCGGATAAAACTGATCCCTCGAAAGGGCTTAGTGTGGGCCGCTAGCAGGGCTGGCACGGGCTAGCGCAAGTTCGAGTTGCTCGAGTTTCTACGGTAGTATTTCTTTCTACGGATAGGCGTGGCCTGGAGGAGTGGGCGTGGGCGGAGGCGTTCGACTGGGGAGCTGGAGGAGCTGCTTGGGCATGGGAGAGCTTCTACCTTGACAGGGCCATCTAGGTACGTACCGCATCTCCCTTTTCAGCCCCTGGCCCCTGGATCCGGCCCCGGTGAGTGGCAGAGACAAGATGCAGAGAACAGAGACACAGAAACAGAGACAGAGACAGAGGAAAGACAAGAAGTAGACAGGGGGGGGGGGGAAGCGAAGCTCTTGCGGGCTCTTGCAAGTATTCGTACCTGCTGGATGTTTCCCACTGTCCTGTCTTGCCCTGTCGCCTCGCCCGCCTAGTGTATACCCTGGGGCCTGGGCCTGCCCCTGTGCCTGTTGACTGACTGTACCTCGCCTTTCGAGAAACGACGACGACGAAAAAAAGAAGAATAACAGAAGACAACGGCGTGGGACAAAGACTCCAGTATTGTTGCGTAAGGTAAAGTGAGTTATCAGCTTCCGCCCCCATCCAGTCAGTATCCGTTATCCGTACTCTCTGTTTCTCCACGCCTGAATCTTTGTCACTTGGCCTTTTCTTTCTGCTCGCTCAGAAACGACTTGTGGGGTTTCCTTCTCGTCAACCCCTTGCACTTGGGCAAGTCTTGCTGCTCACCATTGCGACGTTCCTATGGAGCAGGGTTGCGACCGAGTGAGCGGATAGGGACGTGGTACGGGTACGGATACATACTGGCAGTTTTCACCTCCCATCGATGTTGTCAGGCACGGAGAGAAAATGGGAGAGTTTTCTATACAGAGTATCCGCAACTCCACGCCAAAGGGTGTTAGTAAAACCGCAACGGACGACGACTCTCATTCGGAGAACAAGAGACAGCCAGACCGGGACGGACAGGAGGCGACGCAAGGCTACCATTCTGTAGTAGCTCATTCTGACCATGCATTTCACGACGCCAATAATAAAAGGCTCTCTCCGCATGCTACCTTGACTTGGGCACCACTTACACCGTCGCTTCGCTTCGCTTGCTCCATGGCACTCCATTCGCGTTCTTTGCCCAAACGTTGAACGTTGAGCTGGCTACCCTTATCCGTAGTCACGTACGGATAGTCTAACTATGGGACAGTCGTTTGCTGGATCAAGGGTTAGCAGTTTCTCTCTCTCTCTCGCTCACTCTTGCGACGGCGGCCCCGTCTCATCCGTCACGGTTGCCTCTGCTACTGCCACAGTAGCGTTTTTGGCTCAGCAACTGCGACAGCTAGTGTAGATGTGTGTAGTTTTTGGTCTACTTGCCTGCTACTTTCTCCCTGGTGTGGCAGGATCAACAACAACAATTCTCATACACACAAAGGAAAGGAAACAACCGCAACGTTGGGGTTCTCTTTCTTTGTTGGAAAAAAAATAAACTGCCCCGCTGGCTGCCCACGCAACGGTAATCGCAGCCGCAACCGCATGTCGGCAACGGGAAGGCAAAAGCCTCTTCTTGAATTTGGATGTTGTGATTCTGCGGATACACCTTTTTGAACTTCTTCTTCTTCTTCTTCTGCTGCTGCTGCTGCTGCTGCTACTTGACCGACCCTTGCTTTGCCTTACCGTCTCCCTCTCTCTCTCTCTCTCTCTCTCTCTCCCTCTCGCCATCACGCTCTTTTTCTGTTCCCAGTTTCCTCGTGTGGTTTCGGTTACGACATTATCGACGTTACCTCGACTCGCTCTTTTCTCTACGCCTACGGTTTGGACAGGGGTGGACATCATCTTCACTTTCGTGATTTTCTTGCGTCCTTTGGGAGCATGCAGCCTACCATCACGCACATTTAACGCCCGCTAAGGAGGAAAACAAAAACCTCAACCCCCTCCATCAAACCGGCAGTCCAGTCATACCTTGCGTCAATCGTCCTTCAGAAATCGCCTGACTGCTGTCGACATCTGGGCCCGATTGTCTGTGTGTGCACATCACATCGCCATCTACGCCGACGCCATCACACACATCACACACACACACACACACACACACACGCACACACCTTCTTTTGATTCTCCAACACGTTGAACAACCTTGTTCATCATCTTGGACCCGGACTTGGCTGGAGCTTTTCGAGATCTCTCTCTCTCTCTCTCTCTCTCTCTGTTTTTCTCTGGCCCCCCTCCGCGTTATCTCACTTTTGTGGCTCTCTTGCTGGCTGGCTTTTGCGAAGCTTTCTACCCAACGACTGTGCTTCTTTGCCGGGAGGACAGACCCCCGACTTTGTCCGTTCGTAGGGAATTGCGGCCGTGGCTTGCGGAACCTCCACCACCACCTCCACCACCAGAACAGCCCAGCGCCAGCAGCACAAGCAGCAGAGAGACGTCGTGGAAAAAGAAACGCTCCTCACATCTCATCTTCAACACCGCTCGTCCTCACCTCACAGACGCGCTCCCCAACCGTCACCTCAGCCCTGCTCACTCTCCATCCAAACCAGCACCGCTTTCCCAGGGTCCCCCTTCCCCCATAGTCATCACCAACAGTTTTTATTTTATTTTTGTTCATTGCTTCTGTGCTCGTGTACCGTACAGTGCAGTACCTACATACAGTACCAACCATACCCGGGTCTCTCTTTTTTTTTTTGTATCAGATCTCTCTTCCTTCTTTGCAACATAAAGCAAACTTATCCCCTCTTCTCACACACCTTGCCAACGGCTACCTCCACGGACAGACGATCCGAGAGGAGAGTAGAAACTAGAGGCCCTTGCTACCGGCATACCTAGAGCGTCTCATCATTACTCTGCCGCCTCGACTCGTCACATTGGGGCCTTGCTTCTTCTTGCCTGCTTTTCGAGCTGTGTACATCTTGAGGGTCCATTGGCCTAACGGATATCACTCCCACTCATCACCCGTTTTCCCGCTTCCTTGCCCCAGGTGCAGTTGAACTTGCTCGGACGCTGTGGGTTGTGCGGACTTCTCGGTCCCGGCATATAGCCAGCGAACAGTAGGAGTAGACAATCATTCAACCTGCGGGTGTGTGTTTGTGCGCTTGCAGCTTCCCTCACTCAGTCATTCCCCCTCAACTCAAAATACCAATTCACCCAATACAAGCCCGCCAACAACGTCTGCCTTTCAAATTCAACTCCTTCTGTCCCGTTCTCCGGACAGCCCATCACTGCCAGCCAAAAAAAAGTATTATATATTTATATCAAGGCTATTCCGTTTTGAACGTCTGCGACCTGACGCACAGAACGACTTACCTACTCCCCCGTTCTAAGGATCGCCACGCCCGCAGGGCCGTCCGCCATCTAAGTCTGGCGCGTGGTTTCTCCTCTCGGTTGATCTAATCAATTTCTGTAGCAAAACCAGGCCGGCCCTACCTGGCCTGCCAGCGCTCGAGCGTCTCCCACATCAAAGGCCCGCCGGCGAGGTACGACGCCGGTTACGGTACATGCCAAAAGTCACTCGACCTACCTTACCCTTACCCTCCTCCTCCTGGTACTCCTCCTCTCTCCTCCTCCCTCTCCCACTACCCTACCCTACCCTACCGGTACCCCTGCCTTGCCTCTCCTCTCTCTTACCCGTCTGCACCGTCGAAAATAAGAAAGGGCCCAATCGGTACTACCTCAGGTACCTAGGAGCGTACCTCACTCCACGCCTCCACAGCTCCCCTATCCCCCTGCTCAGAATCCATACCTCGTTCCAGGGGCCCCTGGAAGAGCAACCTGCCCGCTCCAGCAGAGCAGAGAAGCACCACTTCTTTTGAATGCAATGCTATATTGCTGCCGATAATATATACCTTCATCAGACGCCTCACGTCTTTCGCTCATAAAGCAACGCCTCCACGATAAACTTGGACTGGGCCTGCGATCGTCTCTCTTCTGCCCCTTGTAGTATAACATAGCGCCACGACCTCTCACATACACCAACGACACGCACGCAACTGCACCTCATCTCAACTTCCCACATTGTTTCGTTTCCTCAGCCAAAGTACGCTGTTGTGTTTGGACTCGTCTTGTGCCGGGCACATCCCACTCGTCCTTGCCGTTCCTGAGGATAAACTAAACTACCATTCAACCAACAACACCGTACTATCACCGTCGTCATCCTTCATAAGTCGATTGAACAACAATAAGAACAACAACATTCAAAATCTGTCGTTCACTCGTCAGTTCTCCACCACGGCACACACTACTCGACTCTCACCACAGACACCAAGGTTTCTCCATTCCCGGCTCACCGTCGTCGACACTTGCAACATCCTGGCATCTCGCCCGAAGTAGCCTCACCACACACACCACGAGAAAGAGTGAGAAGAGCCTCAGACGTCCTTCCTAGTACCTTCCTTCGGCCCCCCACTTGGGTGATTCTCGCGGTCCGTCTGTCTAGACCATCTTGCAGTGGATCCTCCTCACCTTCGGAGACCATCAAGAGCTCTGTGCACACTTCTGCGCGAGTCGTTGAAGAGAAGCCAGACGAGAAAATAGAAGCAAGGAAGCTGCCGGTAGAAGACCTGAGTTTGTTTCTTGTCATCCAGACACCCCTCAAGCAACAAAAACGACGCCAGTCGTCCAAGATCCGCTTGGTCTCCCGTACCTGAGCGCTCAGAGGTTCGACGATCGCATTGTTCCTGGTGGTCACCATTATGCTTCTAGTCTCGGAAACTTAACACACGCCGGCCCTCGACACTTGGACTTCGAAACAAAATACACGGCAAGCCAGCCCGAACTTGGTTCACCCTTCTTATCTCATCCGCCGCCCGAAGAAGGGATTGTCCTGCAAGCAACATCAGCACTTCCCACCTGTTTGCGCTCGACCACTCGCAACAGATCCTCCAGTCAGGTGGCTAATTTTCATCGAAGACGGAGAATTTTAGTGCCTGTGCACCAGGACCCTCCCACCTTCTGGTACGTCCACACTTGTGGCTGTCTTAAAGAAGGCTACTCCCACCCGCTATGAACCCATTCTACCTCCTGGCCTTCATCAGTTCGTCGTACCTTGGGTTATCTTGAGCTGATCGTTTCCTACCAGCTTCACTCCCCTTCCTCTCTCATACCTACTACTCTCCTCACACACCTTAATCTCCATCTCTTTTCCTCTCAACCTCAATAGGAGTGTCAGCTTCCCCCGTCACCTCCGCCATCACGCCTGATTAATACCAACACCCCCAACCAAGCTCAGGCCTCTTCCTCCTCATCTTCTTCTCTCTTAACATCATCCGTCCACCCTCTCCTTCCATTGTTCAACGCTCTTGTACGCACCGTCGTCTTCAACGCTTCGAACACTGCTCATCTTCGGCAACCTTGCGCTGGACGCCGCACCCGTTCCTGTCTCAAGTCGTCGACCTCCTACTTCTCGGCACAGATTCTCTCCACCCTTGCCTTCTTGTCCCAACCCGTCATTCCTTGAACGACGATTCGGGAGTCTGCATAGACAGAATCCGCATTGAGCATCCCGCTTAAGCAACGTTCCGAACCGGGGTACCATATTAGACACATCAACCCACGCCTACCCTTGCTTCTTCTGCTCCGGAGTCCTTCATCACCCGATAATTCAAGACACCATTTAATATCCTTCGCCGCGGAAGTATATAAGTAGTACAGCTACTGCACCGGTCCGCATCTTGGTAATCCGATCAACACACAAACAAAACCCAAAGAAATGGAACTCATGGAGCTTGTCGAGAACGAGCCCACTGCTCGCCCCTTCCAGTGCGACTGGCAGTCGTGCAACAAGGTGAGTCCTGAACCGCCGGGCCACTTGGCTACTGATGTGGTGTGACATGGACGGATCTAACCTCAACATCTTGTAGAGCTTCAACAGGAAGTCTGACTTGCAGAGACACTACCGCATTCACACCAACGAGCGTCCTTACTCCTGCACAACGCCCGGCTGTGGCAAGAGCTTCATCCAACGAAGTGCTCTCACTGTCCACATCCGCACCCACACGGGAGAGAAGCCTCACCAATGTCAGCACATTGGCTGTGGCAAGCGATTCTCTGATGTATGATCCTTTTCTGATAGCGATATGTCCCAACAGGCACTAACCTGAACAGTCTTCGAGTTTGGCCAGACATCGCCGCATCCACACTGGCAAACGCCCTTACAAGTGCGCCCACGATGGCTGCCTGAAGAGGTAGATCTCGAGCCTTGGGCTCTCCCTTTGCGTGATGGAGTTGACACTAATCAATGGAACAGCTTCTGCCGCAAGACCACCATGGTCAAGCACCAGAGAAGATCTCACCAACGTGGTCTCCACCCCAACGAGCTTTTGGACGACTGCACATCAGACTCCGACAGTGGCGAGTCCCCTTCAACCCCGAAGCACGCCGGCATGCAATGGCCTCCTCAAGGCGTGATGGCCATGAACCATCCCGGTATGGGTCATGCCATGCACCGAGCTGCCTCATTTGCCGACTTCGGCCAGCACATGAACGGTTACCCGATGCCTCAACAGCAGCAACAGCAACACTACGGCGCGCACCGTCATAGCCTTTCTTCCGGCGGAGCACACGAGGTCCAAGGTATGGTCCACGAGCAGCAACACCCCGGTGTACACATGCTGCAGCGAACCGCCAGCATGGGCCAGCACTCGTACTACGTGACGGAGCAGGGCAACCCGGGGGTCGCTACCATGAACACGGCCATGCCCCAGCAGTACGGACAAGTGCCCCGGCAACAACAGCCGCAGGTTGATGTACCGTACTCTCAACCTGGTATGAACCAATCCATCCAAAGCAGCCCGAGCAGCTTCTCGGCCGCATCGGGTAGGAGCCCATCCATGCAGGAAGGGTTTTATACTCACCAGCCAACCCAAGCAGCCACGTATGCCTTGCATCATGCCTCCCCCGTCATCGAGCAACAACAAGCCGGCATGGTCCCGTACCCGCACCAGCAGATGCAGCAGCAGATCCATACCCCCCAACCGATCCCGACTCAGGCACCGCAGCCTCCGCCTCAGCAAGTCAGCCAGTACGCCTCACCGACACCCCAGGCCCAGCCCGAAGAGTACTGGAACGGCGTCCCGTACCAGGCACCGGTCGAAGTTGCGACGATCGGCCAGCTGCCGACCTACGGCTCCGGCGTGTACGACCCCTGGGGCGGCCCCAAGATCGAGTTCGAGGACCCTTCAATGCAGCTCCCGTCCGCACGGATCGAGAACATGTAAGAGCCAGCCCGCCTCTCGACGATGGCTCCTGTCACCCCAGGCATTTCGCCTTCCGATACCAATTCATCATTTCCATCGGTGTTTTCTTCGGGCGCCGCTTGCTGTACTACCACCGGAAGTTTTGACATCGATTTGATTTTAACATATTCCCCCACCCCGTTGAATGAAAGAGAAGGAGATACCACGCGGGCTCCACAGAACCGAGCTGTCGATTGTTGAAAAGAAGAGGATGAGCCTTTCGGACGCCTCCAGGCCCAGTGCCCGCCATACATCGTTCCTCCCTTGGGGCAGTCTTGACGGGCCAAAAGGGATCAGACGCAAGGAAAGAAAAAGAACAGAACGGGACAAACCCAACCCTCAAAAGCATACATCATGTTGGTACTTTGTTTTCTGGGTTCCAACACTCACACAACCCATTACTGCCGACACATTTCGCATTGCCGTGTGTCAATGTCGAAAAAGGACGATCACCGGATCCGTCGCTTAGATTGCCGCCTCGATTCGTTCCGTGGCTATCTGCCCTTAGGCACCGCACCGTTTCCTTTGTCAAGCACATACTATTACTTCGTCGACTCGGAACATTTGCATCTGTTTTTCGTCCAGGATATATCATTGGTGGTCTTTCTGTCGCTTCGAGTTTATAATTTTGTTTTTTTTTCGTTAGGGTACTCAAGGGGGTTTTGGAGCTCGGTACGGCGGTTTGTGCTGTCTTATTTAATAGTCTTTTTTCCAGTTCTCGTCACTCCTTTCTCATCGGGCCTCCTTCAACCACGTCGGATGGATTGGACCCGATGATATGATGCAACGAAAGCATAACAGCCGGAGCCGGGCGGGCGGATGGGGAAAGCCACTGGAATGTTAGGAATCATTTGACGATATCCGAATCTTGACGGCCCTTTTACGACTTTGGTGGGAGAGGGGGGAAGCATGGGGATGTAAGGAGAAGGACGATAATGAGGATGGAAGAGGTTCAGGGCAAAGGGCAAAAGAAAAGGGACCGTCATCGATGCCTGATACACGAAAGGCTCGGTCGGGTTTGGGCAGCATCTCCGTCGCTTTTTGTCTTCAAGGCCTCACGGCGCGACCCGGAAAACACAACATTCCCTGTAACAACAACAGTACGAAGTCGACGATTTCTTCCTGTCTGGTGGTGGGCGGCGCAATCCCTAGAACAATGTATTCCTCAGGGGAGAATAGGGGATGATGAAGGGGGAACAAGCAAGGGGGAAGGAGGGTGAAGTGGAAGAAGAGGGGACGACGAGTGCATATGTAATTTTACGTGCTTCCCCCTTGTGTATTGTGTTGGAATTCAAAGGGGATATGAGAAACAAATGGGATAGTTTTGAGAATTGATACCTGGTCAGTCAGAAAGAAAAAAATTAAAGATTTGTTAATCAAAACTTCGCGTCCGATCGTCCCTTTATAAACCTAAGTGAGGTGAGTACATGTGAGGGAAAAGGTGAGATGAGATGCATTCGGTCGAGGCTAAAAAGGGGGGACGCATGACCAGAAGATGGTGATTTTAGCCTGTGTAGGTCAAAACTTTGATGTTGTTGAATGAGGTGTATAGCTGTTAGTTGTAAGTCGTGACACGTTGCCTTGCAGAAGCGTCGGCATTAGTTCAAGGGGTTTGCATGTTGGTTTATTAGGTTGTTGTTGGTGCTGTTTTCTTTGGTTCCGATGGTTAAATTGATTGCGCCTGAATGAGATTCGTCGGGTGAGATGAGAAGGTAGATGGTGTTGAGAGGAGGCTGCTTCGTAAGTCGCGCGGTTGTGAGTCGGGAGTCAGGAATCCCGCTCTATTTTGGTAGTTGGAGGTGTAGATCACCCGAGATGGGAATGGTGTTGAGAGTATTCGTCGAGTCGAGTTGATATATGTTCTTGATATTCGCGGGATGTTCGTTACGTTTGGCATCGTTCGTGGAGGTAGTAAAGAAGGGCGTATCTTGTCGTGATGTCTTGCTGGCGACGACTCTGGACGAGAGCTGGAGCTTGAGGTTTTGTCAAGACATGGCCCGGGGTTCTATAGAAAGTTTGAGCCCGGATGATCCGCTCGTGAGATGCGCTGATCTCCGGGATGTCCGCGTTTCCCAGTGATGCTCATTGCAAGTGGAAGATTATGAGGTATCGTCGCAGCCTTGTGAGTTTTTTTCGACGAGCTGATGTGAGAATGCTGACATGCGCAGTGAGATGTTGGAGGCAGAAAATGCAAAGGAAATGAAGAACCGGGCAACGTTTGGCGGTACTGGTAGATGACAGGAATGAGAAAGAAGACGACAGCAGTGAGGTGACGAATTCCCGGAAAGGGCGCTTAATTCCAAAATTGAGAGATCTGGATGCTTTGAATTGATCTGCAGCTGTTTGCTCTGAATGCGGAAGAATGCATCCATTCATTCCTCATCCAGCTGCTGCCTTTGGTTTGGTCGTGATGTGTTTCTGGGGGGTCCGAATGGATGGACAGAGGGAATTTTGTGATTGGCTGGGAGCTTTTTGACCAATCATATTGCTTTTTCTTGACGTCTTGAGAGAGGTGCTTCACAACGCGAGTTCTTGAGAAGGAGAGTGGCACCTTTACAAAAAAAGCAGACATGGAGCTTGAGAATAATCACTATTAAGAATTGAGTTATCGAGTCTTTCAAGGCTAATTCTAATGACTCTCATGCTGAGAGAGAATGATGAAGTTGGATATCTGATTATTAACCAATGACATGAGGTCAAATTATGCCCCTGCCAGTCTCCAATTAACCCCAAAGACCCTGTCATCTTTGGTCATCTTTGGCCGGATCGGTCTTTCTCTGGCACCGGCGAGTCGCGACATTCTAGAATCCAATCGACGTCACGTGGGGTCTGTAGCTGGGCCTTGGTACCTCCCCCGGTCGCGGCGCTTCGGCAGGGAAAAACTCGGAAGGCAGCACCGCAGTGTCGTGGTCAATGAATAACGTCAGCTAAGAGGTAGCGCATTTCGCCTCAACGTATCCATATCCCGCCGCCCCGTCGCCGCTCTCAACAAGACGACGAGTCAAACGAACGGCGCGAACCATGTCATCTTCACCACACTTGCACATACGTCGATAGCAACTGAAGAAGTCCTTTTTCTTTTCTTTTCAGATTCCCTTTTCGGTCTCGTCCAGGGAACTCCCCTCTGCGGAATCCTTTGTTTCCGTCCCCAACTCGACAACTTAGTAAATCATCAAAGCTGTCCCCTCTGACGAATACGCGAGCCAGCCGACAGCGCGCCTACCCGGCCAACCCAAAGGCATCATGGCCTTACGCCCAGCAGCGCTGGCGCTGAGCGCGACCAGCCCACTGCTCCGACGGGCGACGATGCAGCCCGCGACGATGCAATCCATTTTCCGGCTCGCGACCTCCTCCGCTCGCCCGACCGCCACCGCCTTCACTCGGACCCCCGGTCTGGGCCTCGCACTCCAGCTCCAGCAACAGCAACATCAGTACAGACTCTTTGGAACCAACAATGCCATCTCGCGCAACCTCCTCGCCACGAGGGAGTCGGCGGCGAACAGGAACCCCGGCAGCGCGACCGCGCAGAACGCATTCTACCAGCTCCTCCTCAAGGCCAACATGCCTGCCATCGTCATCGAGCGCTACAACTCTGGCCGGTTCGCGAGAAACGATGCGGTGGACCAGGCATACGCGCAGGCGATTGGCATGCAGAGCACCGGCGCCGTCGGCGGGATGGGTGGTCACGATCACCTCCCCTCCGCCTTTGGCAACGCCGGCTCGCTCGGCGGTCAGGAGCTGAACCAGCAGTCCCCTGGGAACCTTAGCCAGGCGCAGCTGCAGGCTGTCGGTCAGGCTCTGGCTGCGAGGTCGCGCGATTCGAACATGGCTACTGCGAAGGTCCAGGGCAACGGCTTGCCGACTAGCCCGCTTCACGTGGTTGTGGACGAGTCGTTTGGCGGCGTCATCTTCCGTTGGGTCAAGTTCGTCTTGTGGTTCTGTCTCTTTACGTATCTCAGCTTGGTCGTCGTCACGATGCTGGTCGAGGGTCTCAACCTTTTCAAGCGACCCGGTGGTAAAGTGGACAGCGAGGCCAAGGCCGAGAACCAGACTACCCGATTCGCAGATGTGCACGGTGCCGACGAGGCCAAGGATGAGCTTCAGGAGCTGGTCGACTTCCTCCGCAACCCCGACAAGTTCTCCACCCTCGGCGGCAAGCTGCCCAAGGGTATTCTGATGGTCGGACCCCCCGGTACTGGTAAAACTCTTTTGGCTCGCGCCGTTGCCGGTGAGGCTGGCGTTCCCTTCTTCTACATGTCTGGCAGTGAGTTCGACGAGGTCTACGTCGGTGTCGGTGCCAAGCGTGTCCGCGATCTCTTTGCTTCTGCCAAGTCCAAGTCTCCCGCCATCATCTTCATCGACGAGCTCGACGCCATTGGTGGACGCCGCAACACTAGGGATGCCGCCTACCACAAGCAGACGCTCAACCAGCTCTTGACGGAACTGGACGGTTTCGAGCAGAACAGCGGTGTCGTCATTATCGCTGCCACCAACTTCCCGGAACTTCTCGACAAGGCCCTTACCCGACCTGGACGGTTTGACCGCCACGTCACCGTCCCCCTGCCCGACGTCCGCGGCCGTATCGAGATTCTCAAGTACCACGCCAAGAAGATTAAGGCCGCCCCCGAGATCAACTTTGAGGCCATTGCGTCCAGCACTGGTGGACTCTCCGGTGCCGAGCTCGAAAATATTGTCAACCAGGCTGCCGTCCGCGCTAGCAGGCTCAAGAATGTTGCCGTCTCCATGACGGACTTTGAGTGGGCCAAGGACAAGGTCATCATGGGTGCCGAGAAGAAGAGCATGGTCATCAGCCAGAAGGAGAAGGAGATGACTGCCTATCACGAGGCCGGCCACGCCCTGGTGTCTTTCTACCATGAGAGCGGTCCCAACAAGCTTTACAAGGTTACGATTTTGCCTCGCGGCCAGAGTCTCGGACACACTGCACACCTTCCCGAGATGGACAAGTATTCGTACACGACGAGGGATCTTAAGAGTCTCATTGAGACTTCCCTGGGTGGAAAACTTGCTGAGGAGCTGGTCTACGGCACGGACAAGGTGACCACCGGTGTTTCAAGCGTAAGTGTTGCCCACGAGTTTGATACGTAGATTGTCACTAACAGTCAGCAGGATCTCAAGAACGCCACCAACTTGGCTTTCCAGATGGTAGCTCTCTACGGCATGTCTGCCAAGCTCGGCCCCGTGGAGTACGGCGAGCGCTACAACCAGCTCAGCTCAGAGACCAAGGCACTCATCGAGTCAGAAGTGCAGCGTACCTTGACGGAGTCCTACGAGAAGGTGCGCGAGCTGCTCACGTCAAGGCGCAAGGAGCTCGATCTCCTAGCCAAGGCTCTCGTAGAGTACGAGACACTGGACAAGAACGAGGTGGAGAAAGTGATTCGTGGCGAGAAGCTTCCCGACCGCACGCCCATGCCCAAAGGCCCTATGAAAGTGCCCGCGAGCTCGGGCGTCGATATCGGCCAGACGATTCCCCCGCCGTTCCCTCCTCCTGCCGGGCCCACTACGCCTCCCCCGGCGCCACCTCCACCTGCGACCTCTACGGGTGGCGTCGCTCCTGGATCCAATCAGAAGTCATGATCAGAGCTTACTGGGCATGACGTGACTTTGGTCAGGACTACCATGAACACATTTTGTTTTTACGGTTAGCATGCGGAAGTGCGAGAGCCGAGTCGCGGCTTGCTTACTGGGAGGCACTCGCATGGGTCTTACAATGTATCATTTTTACCGGTACAGCATGGGAGGCGTTTATCAGAAATCTAAAGAATTTGCGATTCCGTTGGCCATTGGTGGACGAGAAGGAAAGCGAGACGGGCCGGCCTTTGGCCAACACAGGCTTTAGTGGTCAAAAGCGAAGGAGAAGTAGTCTGGGTCTGCTAGTTAGATCCGCTGCGTCGCACGAATAACACTCTCCCCTCAACTGGGGCTTTTGATACGCCTTCGCAAATTAGGGCGTCGGCGTCGGGCATAGATTGGGTTGACTATTGAGTTCAGGGAGGGCAAGACTTTATATGTTGGGTCTGTTAAAAACCCCCCCGTCACAGCGACGCAAGCGGACCGTTCTCTATATGGGGATTGGTAGCGGCTGGACTCGGTGTAGTGTGGCCACTCGATTGAGTATATTATTTCGTTTGTAGAATTATGTAAATGAAGCATTGCCCCGTACTTGATTTAGCCAAACGGTTGTGACTGTTCATTCAATTATGTGATGTTGAGGCTCTGTATGTGGCGAAACCGTGAGCAGTGATATATCGACGTGAGAGTCTTCAAGTCAAATGCGAGTAATACCCATCACGGGTGTTGCAACCAAGGCATCGCCGGAGTGAGCTCGGCAACAGCGGAAACCGAAATCCGGTCCATCGTCGGAGGACGTCTGCGGTGGTCGTTGATCCCGCCGACAAAGTTTCATGGTTGAACATGGTAGTCTTATCTGATAGGGACGACCTGGCGATGTAAGGATATTGGAGTCTTGGTATTAGGTATCTGCAGGACGACATGGAAAAGATTGTGCAGATAGCAATGGACTTGAGGATTGGGCAGCCCACAGCGGGAGATGTGGTCCCGAGCCGGCCCGGGGAACGTGTCCTCCGCTAACATCTGGGGTAAAGGCCCACCAATTGGCGGGGTATTTTCCCCAAACCATGCCTAGGTACGGAGTACACAGCTGGGAGGAGCTTCGAATTCCCCGGTGAGCCTCGGTTCGGTCCCCAATTACAAGCTAAAGCTCCCTCGGCCTCCGCATCGTCATTTCTCCTCCCACTCCTCCGCATTTTTATTCATCTTCAACGTTGTTCAACCGCGCCGCATATCTGCATAGCATTTGCCATTACGAAGTACATCCAAATAAAGTGACTTTCCTCCTCCATGTAAATTAGATCCCTCCTGGCCAGATTGACCTCATTTATTCATCTTTTACCCATCAATCGAACCTCATCGTCACATCATCACCAGCACAATGTCAGACAAGGCATCGGATCGGCTTCAAGCTCTGGGCAAGCAGCTCGATGCGCCTGCTCCTATCAAGATTGCCGGGCCGTCTGCGGCGCCGAGAGTACCTGGCAAGGTCGTGATCATCACAGGTCAGTCGAACTCACATCCCGCAGCAGCAGACAGACTGACACACGAGGCCAGGCGCAAACTCTCTCATGGGCATCGGTCGCGCGTCAGCACACCAGTTCGCCGAGAACGGCGCCCGAGCCATTTACATTTGTGATTACGCAGACGAGAACCTCGCTTCTCACAAGAAGGAGCTTAACAAGCTGTACCCCAAGGTCGAGGTCCACACCCGCCAATTCGACGCCGCCGAGGAGAGCGCTGTAAAGGAGGTTGTTTCTCACGCCATGACGACGTACGGCAGGCTGGATATCTTCTTCGCCAATGCCGGAATTACCGGCCCTCATAACCTATTCACCGACATCTCGACGGATGACTTTATGCAGAACCTGCGGACGAATACGTTGAGGTGAGTGAACTTGCCCGCTGATTAAACATCCCTTCTCTACCACCCCTTGCGCTAACGAAAAATCAACAGCGTCTTCCTGGCCGCCAAGCACTCCGCCCCCGCCATGCGCAAGACGTCAGCCGAAAAAACCACCCCCGGCGGCAGCGTAATCCTCACGGCCTCGGTCGCCGGCATCCGCTCCAACGCCGGCACGACGCCGTACTCGGCCGCCAAAGCGGCCGTCATCTCCGTCGCGCAGACGTGCGCCTACCAGGCCGCCGGCACAAACGTCCGCGTCAACGCCATCTGCCCGGGCCTCATCGAGACGGGCATGACGTCGCAGATGTGGGACCAGGCCCGCGCCCGCGGCACCACGGGTCGGATCGGGCAGATCAACCCGATGAAGCGCGGCGGGCACGCCGACGAGATTGCGCGGGTGGCGCTGTTTTTGGGGAGCGATGAGAGTAGCTACGTCAACGGGCAGGCGTGGGCTGTTGATGGCGGGTTGAGCGCGGGACATCCGTACGTTGTTGGGAAGCTTGCGTGATGTGTGTGTGTGTGTGTGTGTGTGTGTGAGAGAGAGAGAGAGAAAAAGAGAGAGAGAGAGAGAGAGAGAGAGAGAGAGAGAGAGAGAGAGAGTGTGTGTGTGTGTGTGTTTTTGTGGTGTGAGAAACTGGGAGTCAGAGACAGCGGCGTTGGCCGAACTGCGTAGCGGTCAACAAATCTTTTGCCAAGTTCTTCCGGGATGTGTAACTTATGTGGGCAGCAGGAACTTGTTTGAATACATCATTTCTCCCGACAGCAAGTTTGAAGGAATCGTGCCTGCTTAGACATGTGAAGCACGTCAACGGCCTTCAAGGCGAAGGCCGAGTCAAGAGGGGCTGGGCCTGGAGGCAAAATAAAGGTGGACAAAAAAGGTGGACAAGATGGTGGGCGGCCGAGGCTATCTCTGGCCGGCTTCTGGGGCCGGCCGCACAGATTGGAAGGAGGTTAAGCAATGTGGGCGAAGTTCCCAGCTCTAGATCCTCAAGGTGGACTTTCGGTGAAGGGGTTGCTCGCCACCCCTGTGAAGTCATTGGGCCTGAAAGCACGTCCAGAGTTCGAACGGGAGAAGGAAGGGAGGAGCAGAGTCGCATTGACTCCTCTTCGATCAACGGGGAGCTTGATAGGGATCTCCAATAAGCTTGAACGGGTTCGGGCGCCATTACCACTTTCCATCCTCGATGCCCATCTTCCGGATTCCTCTTTTGTGGATAGGCCGGGACGGATTCCATATCACGCAAGCCGTACAGATTAACGTATGGATGCAAACTATACTTGTAGAGAATGGGTATATCCACCATCCACCCCCTAGGCAGGCCAGAAGACTAGCTGCCGCCTCCGCATCGCCAAACAACGTCGTCCATTACATTCACTGCCGTCCTCATTCGCTCATGACGCGGCCGCCATAGATTGCCCATTCCACTTTTCAAGGATTGGTGCGAGGGTGAGGAGGGGGGGGCCGAGAACATTCAAGCATAAGTGGCTTTGGGCTGCGGATGTCTTTCTGCATGCCACCGGAGGCTCATCGACGGCAGGCTCCACAACCATAACTACCGGGAATCGCAACCATTCCGAACTCGTCGTATCGAACGTATAGAAATTCATACTGCAGCGTGCTGCTTGGTCAGGCTGGGAGTCGCTGGACTTGACCCTCCTCCTCAAAGCTCCGAAAGATGAAACCCACCCAAATTGGATCTCCAGGCACGTCTGTACGCCTTTGGTCAAGAGATCTCTTGGCAGAGTGGTCGGCCGCGTCATGGAATCAGGAGCATTATCCTCCTTCCTCCTTGATCCAAACGTCTCCTCCTGTTCGTCCTTTGGTTCCATCTGCAGGAGTCGAGAAGGAGAGTGTCACTGTTCTTTTGTTTGTGACCTAGGTTTTTTCGGCCGAGCCACGTAACCACCCTCCCGACCGCTGCCCACATCCCGATGCGCCATCCCAAACCGCCGCTCCCCGGGGGCCAAAGGGACCCACTCACACCCCGATCCCGTACCACCGTACCTTGGACAATTGAACCACATACTTCACATTGCGGAACGGGAGAGGACCACCAGGGCCATCACTTTTTTGTTTTTGCCAAATGACCCAACGCAATGCAATTGGAATTGCCTCTGCCTTCATTGGATGGCAGATGTCTTGGACGTCCGAATAACCCCCCAACCCTTGCGACCTCCCGGCCGTTCGCACTTGCTAGCCCGTCACTTGCAGAAACGCCGCCACCCCTTAACCTTACACAGGTAGTGTAATTCTTCTGGCTCCGCGGCGCGCGCGGAGTGGCGGACGCCCAGGTTTCTAACTAAGGTACTGTATTATGTGGTATCCTTGTAGACGCTCCAGGAAGACCAACTCGATCCCAAACTACCTTACATCCCCGACTCCAGAGTACCTTGCTGAGGCTAAACCCATACAGTGGCTTCGAACGAACATTGTCATGCCCCTCATACGTCGGTCGAAACGACTCTAGGAAGGAAGGTGACGACGATGTCTCGCCAGGCGCCCGCGCGCGGGAGTGTGGGGAACACCCAACGAAACGAGAGAGAGAGAGACGACGTCTTTACTTGGTACGGAATGTCGTTGCTTTTGCGTGCTCCGTGCTCGACTTGTCGTGCCGGGATACACTGTCGGCCGGTGGGTTGCGAAATGTACCTGCTGTTCGAGGTGCCAGATGAAGGGATGAGGGCATGTTGCAATGCCATGACAATGCCAAGATGTTGACGTTGACGGGATCATCAGGATCAGGAAGGAGGAAACAAGATGGATCATGGAAACGCCAAGACGATGAATGATATAAGAGGAGGCCGAGTTTCTCGCCAGAAGGACGAAATATCCCTCTCTTCTTCTCACCAGGCTTTTCACCTCCTTCAGTCCTTCTCTTCTTCCAGATTGTTCCTGACACTTCTGTGGTCTGCTTCACTCGCCTTCCATCCCAAGAGATCATCACCATGGCGCTCCGTTCCGCCCTCGCCGCGGCCCTGGCCCTCTCCCCCTTCATCGGGACCGTTGCAGCCCACGGCAGCCACACAGCCGAAGACATTGCCGCAGAGCTCGCCCTCCGCGACATCGTCACCGTCCACGGCAAGCGCGCCCTGAACGCCTGCTCCAGCTCCCCCGCCGCCCTGGCCCTGAAGCAGCGCGCCCTCGAGCGCCGCGCCAACACGGCCCAGATGCTCCGCGAGAAGCGCGGCCTCACCGACCAAAAGATGCACCAGAAGCGCGCCCAGGCCGACCTCGTCAAGTGGGCCGCCGTCGACCACGAGTCCGCCGAGGCCTACAACCTCGACACCCCCCTCGAGGAGATCTTTGGCTCCAACGCCACCTGTGCCCTCGTCCCCGAGACCACCATCGGCCCTTACTACGTCGAGGGCGAGCTCATCCGCGTCGACACCACCGACGGCCAGGCCGGCGTCCCCGTCCACCTGGACATCCAGTTCGTCGACGTCAACGACTGCACCGCCGTTCCCGAGCAAATCATTGACGTCTGGGCCTGCAACGCCACCGGCGTCTACTCGGGCGTCTCCGCCCAGGGCCAGGGCGGCCTCAACACCACTCACGGCCGCGGCGTCCAGCAGTCCGACGCGGACGGTGTCGTCCAGTTCGACTACGTCTTCCCGGGCCACTACACCGGCCGCGCCACCCACATCCACATCATGTCCACCGACGGCGCCGAGATCCTCCCCAACGGCACCTTCGAGGGCGGCACCGCCCGCAACATTGGCCAGCTCTTCTTTGATCAGGACCTCATCTCCGAGGTCGAGACCCTGGCCCCTTACACCAGCAACCGCCAGACCCTCACGACCAACCTTCAGGACGGCATCGCCGCCGGCGAGGCCACTGCCGTCTACGACCCCTTCCTCAAGTACGTCCGCCTCGGCGACGACCTCAACGACGGCCTCCTCATGTGGATCACCATCGGCATCGACACCACGGCCGACTACAACGACAAGGTCAGCGCTGCCGCGCACTACTACGAGGGCGGCGGCGTCGACCAGAGCAGCGGCGGCGGCGGCCCCGGTGGACCGGGCGGCCCTCCTCCCAATGGTACCTTCCCTACCGGTGCTCCCCCCGGTGCCCCGCCCACCTCTACCCCGTCTGCTTAAAACCCGCTGACATTTTGTTGGTGCTGAAGCTTAGAGCTCGGGCTATCTAAGATGAGAGGTTTTTAGACTTCTAGAAACCTCTTGATTCCGATGGTAGGCTTGGGTGCGGTTGGTATATAGGAGGAGAGACAAGTGTACATGAGTGTCGTGAATGTTGTACAAAGTTGGTTTTTTGGTGGAAAAAAAAGCTTCATACCGACGACCAGGGGCTGTTTGTGTTTAGTTCAGGAATAGCAAACGGAAATTCTGAAATACATATTTACATTCGTACATAACTGAGCGAAGCACTAGCGTATCCAGAGCGAAGCTTATTTCCCCTACTTACCTACCTTGAAGAGTCGAGCCCGGCCTTTGATGCACTAGGCTCTCATTGGCCAGCTGACCCCAGTCCCCGTGTGGCTAGGTACTGCCGGTCAGCGGTGAAATGTCGGCTGGAGGGGTGGGGCCGGCCGGCCAGCAGGCCCGGCGCCGCAGGCAGAGCCCGCACACGTCGAAGATGATACTCCAGGCTGGCCCTGGGAAAGACAGAGCGAAGCCCCCAGCGCCTACCTCCCCCCCCCCTCTCCGCTATCATCTGCGGGAAGGGAAAGTCGCTACCTGCTAGTACCTGCCCGCCCATACTACTCGCCTAGATATCTCCTGCTTCAGGCCGTACCCTACCTGCCAGTACCTTCTGGCCCGTACTTTCTACCTTTTTGGCCAATTTTGACGATCTAGATATAAGAGCATGACCTTAAATAAGGTAGGCAATTAGCAGGGGGCGCTGACCCCTGGACCTCCTGCTCTTTGGGTGCTGCGGACGAGTTAGCGGAGCCATGACAAGCGTATGGCTTGGAGCTGTTCCGATACCACATGCTTTGTAGACAATCTACAAGAGCTGACGAGAGCCCTCACCTCCCCACCGGGCACTGACAAGCTTTCTGATGAAGGTTTCTCTAATAATATGAACGTCGTCGTCTCAATGTCCAATAGGCGTTTGGTTATGATGACGGGACTGAGGCCGCAATCGCATCATCGTCCTGGACACGACGTAGAACTGTCCCACGCAGGCGACCTGCCTGCGACTAAAAACTCACATTTCAAGTATCCCTCCCTCTATCACACATTCGCCATCTTGGGAATAGCACCTAGTCAAGAAATTTACAAAGCTCTTTCCTCGTGTCAATCAACCTCGCGATCGCAGCTCAGGTAAGATGCTTCCTCTGTTCTATAAACACATCATTATCTACTCCATTTTACTTGCCAGCCACTCCCTCCTTCCCTTACGCCCTCCCTTCCTTTATTTCGGAATAGTAGGCAGAAAAGGTGGATTTGGGAGGCGGTATGGCCCCACATTGACCGCCTTCCACCTACTTACACCCAACGGAGGATTCGTGGGCTCTGCCCACCAACTTCTTGCTTCCACATCCTCATTACGCAGTCAATATACGATTCTTGAGCTTCGTACCGGACGGAACGCCTTGCCCTGCTGAGATGTATATCAACACTTTACGTCTCTCCTTCCTACCAAAGTCAGTCTTGACTCTACTCTTCCTTGAATCTCTTCCTTCCCTACCTTGTGCCCTTCTCACCTTTCTCACCCTTCTACCTGTTTTTACTATTTTACCTTCTCTCTCTCTTCAAATTCTCACTATCCTCTCCTTCCACCTCACCTTCTCTCACATCTATTTCGTTCTCCATTCCTCCACAAGGTCCAAAGTATGTTCCGTTGTGCCTCAGATTTGCTCACTGTCTAGGAAGGTTTTTTGACCAAGAGGCTAGCTTTCATGAGAAAGATTTTGTTCGAAATTGATCAATTTTGAAGAGAATCTACGGTCGGATTGGGAGTCCAATTCGACCGGGAGTAAGGGCAGAGCATGAGCCACCTCGAGAGCCCTCAACTGGACCTCGGCTGCCCAAACATTCGAGCACCTCGCGATCTCGTCACTGTCATCTGCTAGTAAGTAAGCCTCTCCATCGTTGTAGAATGCTTCAGATCTTAACTAATAATTAGTTACAAGACAGCCAAAGTCTCGTCAAACTCACATCAGACAAGACGGTTACAAATCATGATATCCCGTCTTGGATGAGATCCGAGAACAGCGACGCCGCCAACGTCACGCCTTCGCCCGTGGCGACTGAGAAAGACCAAGCCATACCAGATGATACTTCGTTGCGCAAATTTGCTTCAACAATTATCGAATGTGTCCAGGAAACTGCTGCCTCATTCCTTCCCCACGTCCAACGCAGTAGTCTCATCAAGGAATTCGCAAGCAAGGCACGACAAGACTCATCGAATCAGAAAGAACAATCAGTGCAAGATGGCCCCAGATGCATCGAGGGGGCCTACTAAAAAAGGATCGAAACGAGCATCTCCTTTTTCGATAACGTTGAGAAGTTACTCGACTTTCTTGTTTCTCAACTAGAGTTACAGAAATGGCATCTATCCCATCTACTCATCAAATCAACAAATCGGAACTGGCTGGTCGAAGGCTCTCAGTGCTGCTGAGGTCTCTTTGTGCAATGGCTTGAGTCATACTCTTTTTCTCACACTCAAGACTTGGCCGATAGGAGAACCCTACCCATATTTCGCGGACTTGAGCGACGTTCAAGGCCACTTTGGTGAACCGAGATATCCAAAGAGGCATTCTGAAGGTCACGGGGGCGATCTGTGAGACCGGCACAACCGAAGTGGCATCCAACTATACGCATCTCTTCGTCTCGCATCCAAAGAAGAAGGCGAGACTCTCCGTTCCAAAGGTCCAGTCAGGTCGTCAAGGGAAGGAACTCCCATCTGCGGGTCACTGGACCACCAAAGATGGCAATCTTGGCCATTCCTCAGAGGAAAATCGTAACTTCTTCGCTGTGCCCGGCATTAAAAGAACGTTCGATCTCAGAGTTAGACGGGAGCTCCGCGATTGGCAGCGTTCAATGATCGAGACAGCGTCGAAGTCCGTGGACCATACGTCAAGACGCAAGCTCAATGATCGACAACCTCAACTCTCTCGAGATCCAGATACACAAAATCATTTCAAAAGTCTGAGCCGAGCCGACCTCAATGCATCTATCGCGGTGGACCCTGCGGTGCCCAAAACAGATCGAAAGCAACTAGAAACAATCAACGCCCTCATCACTGGCTCGGGAGATTGTATCGGCTCTCCCTTGAACACATCGGCAAATTTCTTGTTCAACTTGATTGCATACATGAGTGTTGGGATATTGGCAGAGAAGGTGGATTTGGAGAATGGTCTGGGGCCCGCAACTTCCTCTTTACACATATATACGCAGTTCAATACCAAGATTATTTAGATCTGCACCGGCCCTCAGGCTGCCCTGTTGACGTGCCTACCAACAATGAGTGAAGCTGAAACGGCAGCGACAAGAGTCTTAATCATCTTATGGAATGGGCCGCGACGACGTCCCTAAAAGCCTCGGTGGTTCAAAAGCAAAGGAAATGGTTGGGTGGGACGTTGGACGTCGCAGGTAAATGAACTGTCGAGCAAGTACCTCAAGTAAGTACCTACCGCTGATTTGATGCCGCCAGTCGCCAGTAACCTTGGAAAACAGAGTCTGAAGTTGAGAGACTGCCGTGGCGAAGTGAATTCAAAAGTTAAAGGACTCAAGAAGCATGTGGAACATGACTGTTCAAATAAGATCAGCCTTCGGCGCTATCGGCAGCGGGGACGGGGATCGCCGCCGCTATCACGGGCCGCCGATTCACCCCCGCACCGGCCCCACCAACAGAAAACAATCCCCCGCCATGACGTCCCCGCCGTACATTCAATCTAGAACAATCAAATTGACCCCTTAAAGCAAACTCATCACAAACAGCTGTTGCCAACGAGGAGAGAATACATCTAATTCACTCATAAATCTCCTCATAACTCGTCACAACATATCTCCCCAAAAAGAATGGCGACTTCAAGCATGCACTACGCCCACTGCGGCGCAAACGACGGTTGCAAACTCGCCTTCCAATCCTCACTTCCCCTCACCGGCGCCGCCTCCGCAACCCGCTGTGTCCTCCTCATGCACGGCTTCAGCGGCTCTTCAGACTACTTTTACCGCAACGCCGATGAAATCGCCTCCGACGACATCTGGGTCGTCGCCCCGGACATGCGCGGCCACGGCAAATCGGACCGCACAAAGGGCGGCTACCACGTCGCCCGCCTGGCCGCCGACCTCCGCGACCTAGTCCACCACCTGCGGCGCGCCGCCTCGCCCGACCTCAAGATTATTCCCGTCGGCTGCTCCATCGGTGCCGCGGTGCTCTGGACGTACGTCGAGCTCTTTGGGTGCGCGGATTTTGCGGGTCTCGTGTTTGTCGACCAGGCGCCGTTGCAGGATCGCTCGCAGTTTGACGGGTGGGACGAGAGCTTGGCGCATACTGGCTGCTACGACGAGAAGAGCATGCTCGGCGCGCAGAAATTCTGGATGGAGAATTCGGCGGCGGCGCATGTTGATCTCGTGGACGGGTGTTTGGGATACCGCGCGAAGCCTGATGCGGCGGACAACGTCTCGGCTGAAGTGAGGAAGAAGGATGAGGACTTCTTCACGGGGATCAGTGCGCTGTGCGGTCAGGCGTGGCTTGCGAGGTTGTTGGCGGACCATACGCGGTACGACCACCGCGAGGCGATTGAGATGATTAGCGTGCCGACGCTGGTGATGGCGGGGCGCAAGTCCGGGTGTTTCCCGCTCGAGGGGATGCGTGAGACCGTTAGGAGGGTGGAGAAGAACCGGCCTGGTCTGGCAACGTTTTCTATCTATGAGGCTGGACATTGGTTGTTCTATGAGAAACCTGAGGAGTTTAATCAGGAGATTCGCGAGTTTGTGGGGCTGTGCACGATGTGAGATGGTAAGAAAGGGAAGCTGGAAGACGGATGGGTATGCTAGGTGGTGATCTGTGCTGCAACAGCTGAATGACCATGGATAGAGCGACGCGGGCTTATACGCTTCATGAAACGCAAATGAGATTAGAAAATACCAGAGTCTAAAGATGAAAACTCCAACCTATGCCGTTATCTACTTTCCTCGTGTATAGCCCCAGTGTCAACGTCAATGCAGCCCGTCTATATACCAATGTGATGAAGATTACCCAAACATTATGAATACCATGTCCTCTTTGCCATACCCGCCATTTATCACCCTTGATCCAATGCAGTCAGTCCATCTCCAAGTTTTTCGGATATCCTTCCTAAACGCTGAGAAGCTGAACATCAGCACACCCAAGAAGGGTCCTCTGCCCAGCCTTCTTGAAGCTCAGCACGACGCTACCGTTCCTAGGACACGCCATCCAGAACCCATTCTCAAACTGCAGACTTCCATCCACGATCTCGACACCGGATGTCCCAGCCCCGCACTGCAGCTGGACGGTGTTCAAGCTCGGCACTGTCGCCGTGCCGCCGGGTATGACGATGAACCCGGCTGAAGGAGAGGAGTCTTCAGCAGAGAGGCGCACGACGTTGACGGTGCTCCCGGTGGCGTAGAACTCGGCACCCTGGCCGGCTGGACCGAAGACGACGTTGGCTGCGCAGTCTGGGGTTGGAGTGTAGGTGAGCGCTTGGCCCTGGATGGAGGGCGTGAGGTCGAAGTTGGTTACGTTGGCTGCGAGGCGGAAGGTGGGTGTTGTTTGTCTGACGGGGAGACTGGCTCCCATTGCCACTGCGGCGAGGAGGGTTGTCTTGACGAGGGTCTGGGCGAACATTTCGAGTTTAGTTGTTTGATGAACGCAAAAAGGTTGAAGTTGAAGTTGGAGTTGATGATGTTATGCAGTTGGCTGTTCTTGCTCGTAACAGTGAAGTGGAATTAGGACTCTCATCACGGCAGCAACATTGGGTTTATATGTAAAGTGAACTCTGGTCGTTCTTCATCATTCGTGATGCAACGTTTCTCGTCGTGGCGGTACTAGACTAGTCCAACCTCATGACACTCTTCACCTCGGATCCTTTGGGACATTCTATTTCCGTGATTTTATGTCATAAGCCGTTCGCTAGAGCAGTGCCCCTTTAGCCCTGCGCGCTGATCTTTGGGGCTTGGCGATCCTAGTGCTTAGGGACGTGGCTGCCGGCGATCCGGGGTGAGACGGGATCGCCGCCGGTGCCCCGCTCTCCCGTTCGCTCCGAGCGCGGGGTAGCGGCCGTCCAGTCATGGGAACGGGGAGTTGGAGGTTTTCACTCACAGACAACAATTTACTTTATGTTTCGATACCATTTACCAACATACCGTCTTGCCGGCGCGTACGTCCTGGTCGTCCTTCCTTGCCTCATTGTGACCATCTCACAAGCCAAAGTAAGTACCTCGGTATCTGATTCACTCAGTCTGGCTACTCCTTTTCCTCTATTCCTAACCTTCCCTCCATCTTAGTAGACCGAAGACATTGTGCGAGAAGCGATGCCTCGTATCCTAAACCAGGCAGGTAAGACACACTCTTGACGCAGTGGCGCACATCAAACGTCCTTCTTGAACAAAATTCTGACTTCAACGCAGCATGGTAAACAAGAAAGAGCTAGCGTCTAACCACCCATCGGCAGATCGTCGTGCTGACGAGTGCCACCAGCAACACCTGCCGCGTCCGCAAGATCAAATGTAAGCAGATATCCACCATGACACCATGGTATGAGCTCCTCCGATTAATACGAGATTAGGCGACGAGGCTCTGCCCGCGTGCCAACGTTGTTGCAAGGCTCAGCGATACTGTGATCGCACCATCCCGCTCCCACAACTCAACAAGGGTCAGGAGGATACGGCAAAGCCCGAAATCGCCGGTGAGTGTATTCTACGCTCATCTCAATCTTCCTGACTCTTTGAACGTTTAACTGCTCACATCTTCATCCCACAGCAAATGAGCCACATGGTCTCTTCCCACCGCCAACAATTCCCCGCAAAGCCCTCCAGAACCCGTCCATCGCACGCTACTTTTCCCACTACATCGCCGACATCGCGCCGTGGTACGATCTCAGCGATGCATCCCTCACTTTCGCTACCAGCCTCCCCGAAGCCGCCCTAGACAGCCCGCTGCCCTTTGCCGCCATCTTGGCACTATCCGCGGTCCACGTCAGCCAGACGACCGCGCCGTCTGCTAGGGCAGCGGCCGAGTTCTACCATGGCCACTGCGTCCGCTTGCTGATTGACCTGAAGGCAGAGGAGTACGACGATGACGAGCGAACGCAGGGGCTTACGCTGGCTTCCGTCTGCCTTTTAAGGTCGTATGAGATTTTGAGTGGTTCGTCCCCTGTGATCATTCCCTACTTCCTTCGCAGGCACCTTTAAGATCTTTGAATTGAATGCCACGGTAACTAAGAAGGCTGCAGAAGAGGTCGATCCAAATAGGCACCTCCAGGGAGCATATTCCCTGGCAGCATACGACACCCTTCAGACCGACTCCGTTGGGCCCGGCCTCCGAGCAGCGGGCTTCTGGAACTACCTTCGTGAAGACATCACCTTTAGCTTATTCAGAAGATGCCCCCTCAAGATAGATCTTGATCAGGTCCCGCTAGCCCTGCCGATGACTGGCCGAAGAACTGATCATGACCGCCTCAATGCCATCACTCTCCTTCTGGGCCGCATCATCAATGCATGCTTCATAGATTCAGGCTTTAATCCAGTCTCAAATGGATCGTGGTCCAGTCTGTTCCAGCTGCTTTGCGAATGGCGTAAAAGTCTACCGACAAGGTTTGAACCCTTCTCCACGGTTGACCGCGGTCTCGGCCTCGCCTTGCCATCCATATGGCTGCTCAGAGATCATCACGGTAAGATTCCAAATCTTACGATACCTCTATGCAAGTAGCTGAGAGAGGCCACTAGCGGCGGCCCTGCACTACCAACTCGTCGCCAAAATAATACTCTGCATCCGTGCAAACTCGCAACAGTTATCACATCTTCAAAGCACACTAGACGACCGTATCAACACTCAAGACACAAGAGATGACACTCTCGAGCTTCTTGCACTTGACGTTTGCGGCGTGGCCTTCACCGCCAACACGCCCTCTGTCCAAGTCAACGCCTTTGGCCCTATTGCATTCTGTAAGTCTTCCGAGCCCAGGTCTCTGCGTGCCCACCGGCTGATCTACAAAATTAAACTTACTTCTTCACGCAGGCGCACGATTCATCAGAACAGAAGCCTCGCGACAGGAGCTGATCCGCCGCCTCTTGGCGTGTAAACGGACAATCGGCTGGCCCGTCCAGAGACTCGTCTCGGACTTGGAGGCGGGGTGGAGGGGTCCACCACGGCCGCCGCTCACAGCGGCAGAAATAGACAACGAATGAGAAGATGGTCAATTAAAGGAATTGCTTGCTGTCCGTGTACTGAGTAGAGGGGGAATCGTCTAGCGTACCCCGAGCTCGGGTTTGGAGAAAACCTGGAGAAAGCTGGGGGTAGACAGGGGAGGGATGCACGTTGTGTCATCTAAACCCGAGCTCGGAATTGGGGTAGGGAGCTTCCCAAACCTCCTCACTTCGGGATATAAATGCAGGAGAGAGAAATCACATACCTCTCACTCATCAAGCTGGTCGAACTTGACGTCTACTCATACTCATCTGTCCTGAACCACGAAAGCAATCACATCACCAACAATGCTCCTCCGTCCACGCTTCCCTTTCCCTCTCTCGACCCTCCCATATCGTCCTCGCATCCCCCTCACTCACCGAACAATGGCCTCACTTACACCAAGCAATCACGACAACGACAACCATCACCATCACAACGAAGAACCCCTCCCAACAACTCCAGCAACAATACACCCCTCACAATCCGAACTCCTGAACGCTCGCCTCTCCCCTCGTAACCTCGAACTCGCCATCCACCACCTCCACAGAGACGGCCTCGTCGTCGTCGCCGACGTGATCCCACACGCAGACCTCGACGCCCTCAACGCCAAAATGGTCCAGGACGCGCTCTACCTCCGCTCCCTCGGCGACAAGGGCCCCTTCAACTATAACCTCGGAAACCTACAACAAGATCCGCCTCCCGTGGCCGAGTATTTCTTCAAGTCAATCTTCACAAGTTGAGTTCATTCCCGTCCCCATCAAGCCTCATATGAGCCCATTCTCTCATGGGCCATCCTTCTATCCTCACATCTTCATACCAACTCACGACCTACATAACAGACGCTATAGCAACGCAAATCACCTCCTCCCTCCTAGGCCCCCGCCCAAAATGGACCTTTTGCTCCGCAAATTCGGCCATGCCACCAGACCCCTCGACACCAGACCCAACACCACAACGCCAACCAGTCCACTCCGACGCAGACTTCAACCACCCATCCCACCCCTTCGCCCTCGTAATCAACATCCCCCTCGTGAAAATGACGCCCTCCAACGGCTCAACGGAGCTCTGGCTCGGCACCCACGCACCTTACCTACTCCCCTCATCCCCATCCGCCACTACATCCTCCTCCACCACCACATCCACCTCTTCCTCCTTCATCATCCCCTCCGGCATAGCATCCCAAGAAACCCTCCACGGCGACCGCGCAAGCGGCCGCATAAAACCCCACCTTCTCTCCCTCCGCCGCGCCGTCCGCGGCCCCTCACAGCCGACAATCGAGAAGGGCAGCATCGTCATCCGCGACCTCCGCCTCTGGCACGCCGGCATGCCAAACACCTCGTCCGACGTGCGCGTCATGCTGGCCATGATTCACTTCGCGGCGTGGTACCGGAATCCGATGCGGTTGCAGTTCGCCGAGGACGTGAGGCCTCTTCTGCTCGAGGAGGCTGAGAATGAGCTGGAGATGCCCGTGGATTGGACGACGAGGGAGGAGGCCTTGAGGACGTATCTGGGGAGGGGGTTTGGGAATAGCTACGATTTTGACCAGGAAAAGTGAGGAGTAGTAGGCACCCTTCTAGCGTCCACAGATGCCACACGAGTTTAGACAATTCATTTGATTGCTATCTAAAAGCTACTGACAACAACGGACCCTGGCATCGGTCCTGCGCTTTTCCTCCTTTCCGCTCTATTCCAACCTCCGTCTAAGAGGCACCCCATTCTGACTAGCGAGAGCAAGACAACAAATGAAACATGGTATAGTATTCCCCTCCTCGGCGAATTCTCAGCGGCCGATGACGAGACAAAGCTGGCTTTTCCACGCCGAAATGATGAACAAAAAGGGAAAAGTAATTAATCGGAAAAGGTTAAGAGGGGTATAATAGGAAAGACCCGTTTCCGCCGAACCTCGCTTCCTTTTTGTCGCGAGAAGAAACAAAGGAAATCCCCAATCCTTCATCCGTTAAACCCAGTACCGAAGAGAGAGATTCGTTGAGACTCTGCGCCCCGGATGAGTTCCACAATCTGGCGGTCTTCGCTCAGCGGACGCCAATTGACCAAACATGTAAAAGAGATTAGAGACGCGGGACGCGCCCCGTCTTGGTCGTCTAGAAGAAACTCGGCTTCGTGAGTACGCGATACTCGACATAGTCCTCTCCGTCAATACTGATAATGGTGCCTTGCGAGACGAGTTTTCCGACAAAGGGGCCGTTGGTCTTGCGTTCGTACTTGATACCACCGTAAAACTTGGTCTCTTCGCCTCCGACCTTGCTGCGGTGCTCTTCCTGGCTGGCCCACACCTTGTTAAGGCGCTGCATTTCGTCGCGCTCATGGAACATACTGCTCATGCGGGGGCCGTTGCCGTTCCCGTTCTGCAGAGGCATTTTAGGCATCGCTTGCGGCGGCATCGGAGGAGGCACCAAGTTGGCCATGTGGGCGGCTTGAGCAACCTGGGCAGCTTGAGCAGCTTGGGCAGCTTGGGCGTTTTGAGCAGCTTCGCGGTCAGCGGCGAAACGCTCGGTCCGAATTTGCGCGGCCTCGATTCGAGCGATCTCGCGGCGTGCGCTGGCGTCGATCTTGTTCTGTGCTTGTACCGGGGTTCGCGATGACTGTCTGACGTCGAGATCGGGCAATGAGTGCCGAACGCCGCGGTTCTCCGTCCTGCGGCTCTGGCGCAATTCGGGATTCACCTCGACCTTGGTCTCGGGTGCTTCGAGCATCTCCTCTGGCTGCGGAACAATGACGGGAGGCGGGCCCATGTTCATGAAAGCCTTGTTGGTGCCATTTGCCACGCGTTGCTGGGCCTCAAACACTGCCCTGGCCTCATTTCCGACTCGGTCATTGGGGTTCTCTCCCTGGTCGATTTGGTATTGACGAACACGGCAATACTCCTTCACCTCGGGGCGAGACAGTTGTTTAATGTGAGGCTCCAGTTCGACCTCTTCCCAGTGAATCCACAGCGCGCCCGCTCCAACAGGGAAGTTACCGTCCACGAAACGCTTATCACGCGTCTCTCGCGCGACCTTGACGCGGAACATGTCATTCTGGCCCAATATACCATAGATGGCGTGCTTGTTCACAGGGTCAATCTCGCTGGAGCCCTTCCAGTAACCCACGATGATGCGCGTAGGTCTGGTGCCTGGCAGAGGGTCGAATTGAGGAGTCGTCACGATATTTTGTGCTGGAGGCGTCTGCTGAACCGGTCCTCCGCTGATCGTGCCGATGCCACTACCAGTGCGGCGACGTTTGGAGTCCGGGCGGTTAGGCATTGTGGCGTGGTCGGGAATTTCAGCACCGTATGCGATGGCGGGCGCTACGGGATTCTCGGGGGGAGGATTTTCCTCAACGCGTCGGACTGCCTCCTTGGCCGCAGCTTGCTCTGCAGCATCACGCGCCTCCTCCGTCATCTCGGTGGAATCCGTTCGAAGCTTGACATATTCCTTCACTTGATGGTGGTCCAGACCGACCAGGTGGTCTGCGAACACGACACGCTCGAAGGTCACCCAACTGCCACCTGGTCCGGGCGGAAGGGGATACTCAAGACTCGAGACCGGCTCGCCAAAGCGGGTGTTTTGTTGAATACGAGTGCGGAGGCGATCGCGGACATCGATGAAGCCAATAACTGCATGCTTGCCTCTGGGGTCGGGAACGGGCGAATCGCGCCAGTAACCGAGAATGACGCCCTTTACACCACCCAGTCCGTGCCTACGGGCTGGCTTGGTGCTGCGTGGCGTGCTCTCCTTCTCCGAGACAAGGCTGCTCTCCATCTTATCTTCACTCAAGTCGTTGAAGACAGACGCGCGCTTCCGCTTAGGGTAGTGGGAGACGACTGGCTCATCCTCGACGTCCGCCATGTTCTCATCCTCAGGATCAGAAACAACGCGGAGGGGCGACGACTTTTGCACACCATTGCGGTTGCCGACGACAATCTCATCTTCCAAAGCACGATCATGACTGCCTGAGACAGGGCTCAAATTCTCAGGAGGCGGGCTTAGGTCATCGTCGTTGGCGGTGTCGTCGTCATCCAGAGCTGGTGGCTTAACGCCATTGGTACTGCTGAGCCTGCAATTGTATCAGTATATGCTTGTCCACAATTGAGTTCGTCGTCCTCCAAAGGTGATTGAAATGTTGCCTAAACAGGTGCACTTGCGACACTGATGAGGTCTTTGCCAACAAAGTCGGTGGCGCTTGGCTATGGCTCCAAGTGAGAGCCCCGTCCAATTGATAAGAAAGGCAAAGAAGAAAAGCATCGCTGGCAAAGAAGCAATTGCGCAAGACCAAAAGTGGTAAACGACTCGAGTTGAGCAGGGGTAGGAAGCCATGGAGAAACCAAAGCGGATGGTGTACATGAATCGGGCACATTTGTCCCTGACTCGACATGCGCCTCTTGGCAACTCACCAGTTGCACTCTTCTCCAAAGCAAGCAATCCAGCCACAAGCATCGAACTTTGACAGTTGCCAAAAATACATTGGAACTCTGATTTGCAGAGAGAGAGAGAGTAAGGGATGAGGAAACTCAGATGGGGGGTTGGAAGTCTCAACGGAATGCGACGCACCTTCTTTCCTCCTTGATAGGGACAGAGGACTCTTCGGGAGTGCTCTTGAGGCGGGAGTCTCGTCGGAACGGCATTCTGAGAGGGTCGCAGGAGGGTGAGAATAAAGACAGAATATTTGCGACGCACAATCAACGGGACTAATGCTCAACGAGGCTATGGAAACAGGGGGATCTAAGAGAGAGGGAGAGAGAGAGAGAGAGAGAGAGAGAGAGAGAGAGAGAGAGTATATTGTGTGTACTTGCAGCAAGGCACAATAGTTGATGGGAGGAAAGTGATCTGGTTGATCGATGGGAAGAGAGGTGTGGTTGAATCAAGGGAGGTGTCGATGCTGGTTGAAGTGGAAGGGGGATGACGAGAGGGGACTTTGGCGGCCTTGGAACCTAGCTTAGTGGCCGAAGCTAGAAGCGCCGTCAGATGCAGTGTCAGGGAAGGAAGGAAAGGAGTTTCCGTGAGGCCACGACACTGAGAAGGAAGTTGAGATAGGTGCGGACTGGTGAGGTAGAAAAATGGAGCAGGAACATGAAGGTTGTGATGATGGATCGCAGAGGCAAGTCTGAAGCCGACCCATTGTATGACTTCACCACTGGTCATAGCGCGCGGTTCTTGTACTTTGAACAGCAGCAATTGAAGAAGGAAGCATCAAGTGACAGTAAGTCAAATGCAGCAATCAAGAAGAGAGAAGAGAGAATACAGAGGCGGTAAAGAGACAACGAGACAACTTACTCTGTGGTTGTAGGGGTCTCGGCAACTGGGGTCTGTTGCTGCTGCTCTGAGGGCGCAACTGACGGTTGCTTTGTTTCGACCTCGGTGGCGGTCTCCATCGCGGCTGATTTCTCGTGGGTTTGTGTTCCGATCGAAATATTAATGCGGTCGCAACAAATCAAGTGAACCCCCAATTTGTCGAAAATCAAGCGACAAAGACTCGCGGTTCAGCTCGGCTCTTTGGGTAAGAGAAAAAGGACTGTTTGCCTTGATGGGTAATTTGGCGGGCAAGGCGTTGTTGGATGGAAATGCGTTGGGACGTGTGGTTGTAAGAAGACAAGAGCTAAGAGCGATGGTTGGTTTGGGTTGAATGACGGCTCCAAATGATCGGTGGACGCGGTTCGTGTTTGAGGCCAAGATTGAATGTGACCGGGGAAGGTGGAGACGGAAAGGTGTAGAAGAAGGTGTGTGTACCTATTCGTAAGGGGGGAAGGCAATAGCTAGGTGAGGAGTGTCAGGCAAAAGTGAGAGAGAGGGAGAAGGAGAGAGAGAGAGAGAAAGTAAGAGTGAGAGTGAGAGTGAGAGACTTGAGAGTGAGAGGTGAGAGAGGTGTACAAAGTATTGGATTCCACAGCTTTACCGTCTCGCCGTATTATGTCCAGTTTAGACTAAGAAGAAAAAAACAGCCAAGCCAAATGAGGCGAGAGTCCCAGTCACCAGTCGTCAGGCCCCCAGTCAGATTTCTAGTCCAAGCAGGGTGTGTCGAGGTTGAGTGAGAGGTGGGCGAGAGGTAAAGGTAAGGTAGAAAGAATGAGGTGAAGGGTACCTCAGGCTTGTGTCCCAGAGCACGGACGCTGACAGTTGAATGGCGCGGGAAACAGGATTCGGCGCGCCTTAAACGAGATGAAGGCGTCTTTAGCGGAGAGAACTGCTGTGGTTGATGGACGGAAACACCAGTTATGGATGTACGAGTTGATCAAAGTCGGTCACATACAAAGTTGATGGCAATGGGGTATCGCCGTGTTAGGGTATGTGAAGTGAGGAAGAGAAAGGCGGTGGAATTAGACCAAAAGGAGGACCGTGTGTGGGATGATGTAAAAGTTGAGCACAGCGTAAGTATCTGTACGGCACGGGCAAGGAAGGGTAAATCCAGTAGAGGTAGGCACTGTTGTGGCCTGGCCACATCGGAACCTTGGTTATTGACGTGTTGTGTCGTAAAGTTAGGGGGGCGTGTCATGAGCAAAAAAGGATGGGAACTTTGGGAGGGAAATGGAAGGGGGTAGGGGGCAACAGAAGGAAAGGAAACAAAGCGATTGGTATGAGAATCGGGTGTGAATGGAGTTCACTTCACCGAGTTAGCAAGGTTTTACTGAACAAATGAGAGGAATTTTCTGCCAGTGGGCGACCTGGAGTGAGTGGCCATGGATGGATGGAGGGGGAGGAGGATAAGGGCGAGAGATACAGAGAGACATAGGTTTTAATTTGTTCCCCAAGGGAGAAGAGACCAACCAGAGTTGTGACTGAGATTTTTGAATTCGGGGGTGGTTCCAGTGTATTGGGCGAAGTTCTTCTAGGAGATGGCAGAGAGCCCAAGTGACAGAGAGTGTGAGCAAAAGGTACTTTGATCAAAAGTGGCCCGTGGCTCATATCGTCTGTCGGTCACGCATTGTCAGGAAACCAATGATACAGCCAATGCTCCGTAATGGAGACGGACGGATGAGGAAAGGTAAGGTACTCATCGCCCTATCCAGTCAAGACAGCATGGCCATGTACCTAGCAATTTGCATCAATAATACCTTTTTTCCTAGGCCCGGCGAGCTGGGTTGCGCGTTCCAGCTTCTTATTCCCTCCTTTCCGTCCATCGCCGCCCTCCCTAGGCTCCCATCCGTCGTCCTGCTTCCACCTCTGCCCAGACCATATTCGACTTGTGCTTGCCCAGATCTCATCAGATCAGATGGGTCGAACACCTCATCATTCTTTACGAGTCGTCACCCAAATAGGTTGTGGAGTACCTCTCTCTCGATGCCGCCGGCAAGTTACCATTTGGACCTTGGGCTGTACGACCGTCTCGGACTCTTCTTACCCAGGGCACACCTTATCCAGGGTCACACATCTTCAAATGATGGGGGTCTAGTAACGAAGTAGCGTACAACCAAGCTGTGACCATGGCTCGTGTAAATCCCTATCAATCCCAGTCGCAGTTGTGTCCAGAGTTTCGATGACTGGCTGACTTGGGCTCTCGAGCGGGGCTCCATGAGGGGGGGCCACCACCACCCAATTTGATTGACGCCTCGCCGGTGTATCTCTAAGTTGATTGACTGTTTGGCAATTGCGCCGGCAAATGTGAGATAAAACCCTGTGATCCCCGTGGTACCGTATCCGTAGCTGAGCCCCGCTTGCGCGCAAAACTCTCTCATGAATGACCCAAAGTACCTTACCTTGAGGGTTTGGCATGTTGAATTGTCCAAGTTGGCGTAATGAAAAGGTACAGCCGTTCCATGTATATCCTCTGATTACGTCTGTCTTACCTACTCGCTTGGCTTGGTCACGGTTTGGATTGGCTTGGCCAGGTTGGTCCAGCTGCTAGTCTGCACGCAGAGTCCCAACCTAAATTGAATGCCATTGGCTTTTACTCAAAGTTCACTATCCTTACGTGACTGACTGTACTTGCGAGGTGCCTCTTGAGTCTCCTCCGTCATGTACCTACAGCATTTGGTGGTTATCTCTGAATAATGCCGTACCCCTCCCTCTCAGAGTATTTAGACCTTGGACTACCAAGCCCATGCATCGGCATCGGTACTCTGCGTCGGTTATCGGTGTCAGGCCTCTGCCATGGTGCAACTAATCTGAGGGAGGGATATCATTAGGTCTACGTACCACAACACACAAAATACTTGGCAAAAGGTACTGTACTCATTCCACATTATCAACAACCCAGGCGGGCTAGCACAACCTAAGACAACCTGGGCGCCGGCCAGCTGCCACCGAGCGCGTTTCTTGCCTTGTATCCGTATTATGTCGGCCCACCCCTGCCTTGAGTTTAGTTCGCCCTCATCACTCTGTTCCTTCTCTGTTCTGTCCTGAGGTGCCCGGTGGGAAAGTCCGGCCACGCAGTCGCAAGTTGCAATCAACAGCCATGCGACACGACACACGCAAGAGCGCGTACAACCGACGGCAACTATGCCCGATCGGCAGGTCAGTCGCAGCAACTCCAGCCGTTGAGGGCAAGAATTCCTTTCCCAAACACAATGTTCTGCTGGCCTGAGGCAATCGGCAGACTTGTCGGGCTATCTTTGTCTTTTTCTCACTCTCTCTGTTCATCTCTCACCACCACCAACCCGCGATCGCCCACGCGTCCGCATTCGGGTTACACCAGTCTCGCCTTTGGGTTTATGAGACAACCACTTTTACCGTTATGCCTCGGCTGCCATTGCCGTTATCAACAAAAGGAATCGCTTATGCCATTCGAGAGCAAAATTCGACCATCCTGTTCCTCAATCCCCGACATGAACATGGTACTTTGGTATTAACGATGACGAGTCCACCTGGATCGGCTGGCTGGCCCCACGCATCCTTGGAACAGCGTGTAAAGCCGTGGTACTAATATAATCATGTTATTGCTTCAGTGGTGGATCTCCGGGCGTTGACTCTGCAGCAGCGCATCAGATCGCATCATCCTAGGCGGTTCTTGGTCTCTCCGTCAATCATTTCGTCGTACTACCGTCTTCTATCTCAAGTTTTTTGTATCCGCGCACCGTCTGCTTTCAACTTTATGAACAGTAGCCGGCACATTGTTAATGTTTATGTCATGCCAATTGACACTAACAAGGGCCACGATGATTTACGCCAATCAACCACCAATGAGTTAGTTGTCTGTCGCAACTCCCATTTCTTGCTTATCCCGCCGGACACACTTGTGACCTCCAACGCATTCAAAACAGTGCAAACGAAAAGGGGGGGTGCCAGAGTCGGAAAACCCCTTTTCCACCTTCCAAGAAGCGCTGTCAGGTTGTCAGCAAACGACGGATCTACGGTTCAACTCGAAACGCAGCGAGTTACCCTATCTAGGAACTCCCGAAACTGGAGCGCGTGGATGAGGATGAGCAGCCTCTTGGCCTGCGCTCGCACCTATTGTCGGGCCCGGCCTGGACCCCATGCTCATTGTTCTTCTCGAGTTTTGGGCAGCGGCGCGCGCCGGGGGGGATTCCCACCACCTGGGTTGCATGGATATCGGAAACCGCCCTCTCCTTTACCGCCAAGACCAAATGTTCCATCCTGAACTATTCATAACCACATCCCTCAGGCATTCATGGTTGCCTTTTTTGTGCTTCGAGCCTTCAACTCCCGAGTCCCCCGCACGAGCCGGGCAACTCGGCAACCGGAGTTGATGCCTCTTCAAGTTTTGACTCTTGCGCCAGCAAAAGTATGCTAAAGGCCGTTGTTACACCCACTACCATCAGAGAAGAAACCATGCTCAGTACGTTTCACCGGTTGCTGGCATGGCTTGCTGTAGTTTTCAAAGTTTCGAAAGTCGCAATCATACGCCCACATACTGATTTCCTTTTGAAGCGATCGCTCGCGTTGTTCACTGCATGCAGACTGCTGTCTCATTCGCCTGTGGAGCCCGCAGACACTGGTGTTTCGCTACTTGAGTTCCAAATTGGACCATCGACTTCAACAATTGCATATGGCAACATGGCCGAGTGGTCCAAGGCGATAGACTTGAATTGATTTCTCAATCGTTATCTATTATCTTCGGATGCGCAGGTTCGAACCCTGCTGTTGTCGCATACTATTTTGCATTTCTCACGCATAATTGTCTTTTTTGTTAGCGCCGTCTACCAGGTCAATTACCGTCATTACTGTCATTCATTCCATTCCATTCCTGTATCCCGTGCATCAAGCTGTGCGGTCACCGCGACAGTTTGCGGCAATTTCCGCGGCGCACCTCGCCGAAACTTCAAAGTTCCCCCAAGTTGACAACTACGATACCATAGCTATCCGTACCGCACGTCAACTGAGCACCAGCACCAGCACCAGCGCCAACAAGGCAACTGCCATGCGGGTAAATGATGAGATTGAATTGTTTGATCACCTCATCATTCACCTGCGGGTCCTTTTTGTCAACTAAACCTTGATAGACATGAGATGACATACTCACTGGTCTTGGATGCAGAGCATCGTCACACACACTTCATGTTAACACGGGAGGTAGTAATGGACACGCCAGCAGGCGAGCCCGTGCCTGGCAGGTCGGAGGTCCTTCGTTTGATCACCTTCCTCAGTGCTACTGCTGCTGCTTCCGCTGGAGCGATTTTCCGCAAATGCCGCATCTAAAAGCACTGGATATTACTCGATACTCGAACAACTGACGAGTCGAAAACAACGACCAGTCGTTTGAGCATTGCGCTGCACCGCCCAATGAAACTCAAAAAACAGTAGGCTTCCCTTCCTGGTCACGTCAACAGGGGTTGAACGGGCCTTCACTGCCTCCAGTGCTCTGGTATCCCCGTCGTCAATCCTGATCTCCATGCAGGCGGCAGCCAACCCAACCAACCCCGGCCAACTCAACCCCCCCCAGTTGACGCATGAGCGCATCTTTTCTCTCACCGCGATGACATTGGTTGTTGGCCACGATATACTCGTTCAACTTCGTTTGGGTGGCCTATCTTGTGTGGTTATCAACATGTGGAGGATTTTTCACACCGTCTCAAGTTCAATCACAACATCTCAGCTGAACACCGGAGTCCAAGGTAAGGTACTCTCACTTGCCCAGGGGCCAAATGCCACCATGGTCGCGCGCAACCTAAACCCCCAAAAGATAATAAATGGCATTCTGCGTAGCACCCCCACCCCCCTACCCTTCCATGCATTTCAATCTTCCATCTTCCTCCCTTCCATCCATCGCGCGGCGCGCCCTTGCGATCTTCCATGTGATTACGGATACAGGCAGGTCATTCAGAGTATTGGGTTAAAGAGAACTAAACCACCCCCTCCCCACAATCCCGTCGGCTCCCGTCTCTTGGAAGAAGGCTCAGCCGGCAGCGGCGCTTGACCGACTTCTCGCCAAATAAGTCGCATATTGCTTCTTGAGCTTAGGCTTCCTGGTGTTAATGAAACCTACGGACGTTCAGATCAGAAAGAACATATGTGTCCATTGGGAAATGGTGGGGGTTTTCGTAAAGCCGCCTTCCTGATTCGCAACTCTATGCGGTTTTTTTTCGTGATACCCCCCTGCAACTGTAAGTATCGACGGGACTTTTCTGCTCAACACTAGTTCTCGGGTGGGGGGGGGGGGCAGGTTGGTTCCTGGGCCGTGGCCTCTTTCAGGCTATAGGTTTGTCGACGAAAACCTACGGCAGCAAGTAATCAACCATCGCCAATGTGACCTGCTTTCATGACGGTGACGACGACAACTACCACTCTGCATCGTTATATCTGATGCGAGATACCATATTATGCAATCAGCATTCCCGCCTGCGCCGCATACCAACGACGCGGATTCCGCGTACTAGGGGGGTTCGGCGGCCGTTCTCTCAGGCGAGTTTCACTGCACTAAAGTTAATTGTTGACTAAACGAATGTCATGGGACTCAAGAGTCACCAGATTACTAAAAAAGTCTACGCGGATGCAATATAGAATAAGTTAGTATAGCTGGGCTGAGGCTAAATTACGAAATAGCCCTAGAAACCAAGTCGAAATTAACTCGAGTGACTCTGTACTGGCGGCCTTGGAGGGGGAACAGGCGAGCGTGTGAGTAAGTCCTAAGTTGAGCAAGTAAGTGCGCCTGAGCATGACTCATTTCTTCGGCGACTTGTTGCCTAGAAAGACACGTCCTTTGCACGGCGCTCTACATGCCCTTTTCGGTAATGAGCGAGGTCAGACTTTTTCCCTTTTACGGAGTGAGGGCTGTTATACTCTCTAGAAAAGAATGGGTATTTGGGGGCGGGAGGAAAAAAAGTCTATGTTGTGGATTCCGGGGTTGTGTAGAGCCGTTCGTGGGCATAGCCTCTATACTCCGTAGCAGGTGCCAGCTGTTTGGGATTTCCCAGAAAATGCTTCAAGGTTTGATGAAGCTGGGGCACTTTAGGATAATCAGAAAGTGGGAACTCGGCAATAGACAGTCCTTTCATTTCATCGTTGAACGGTGAGGCCGTGCTGATGTGAGGGGGGGTATCTATCAACCACTGGCGGCGATCATCACGAACCGCAAGCCGTGAGGCTTCTCTACTTGTACACCTGTCTATACATGCCACAGTAGTCTTGGGGGTATCTGTCCTGTAGAGTTCATCCACCCGCCTCAGGAGCCTCTCTACTCCTCAGCCTTGCCGCAACACCAAATTTCCGGTTGACCGGCAACTATTCACCGACCCCGACCTCGTCCTCTGCCTCCACCCCGTCCACGTCCACCCCTTCCACCCCTCTTCCCGCCTCGGAACCCACCCCGGTTGTCGAATCTCTCGTAGAGTCTCTCCTCTCCAAATGCAGCCTGTCCGAACCTCATAAAGTTCACTAAGCCGCGGTCCACGACGGCGACGAGGACGTTGCGGTACCCATGCCTCAGACGCTGATACAGTCTTCCCGGACCACCCATTGTGGTTGGGTTAGGCGGGTCATACGGCGTTGAGTCGAGCAGTGCCGAGATCTCTTCGATGTCTGGGATTGCGTCGTCGCGTGCGTCGGCGACGGCGATGCGAATGTCTGGCGGCGGGAGATCCGTCACGCGGAGGTTGGGGTGCTTTGAGGGCTTCCAGACGTGCCAGTAGATCTTGTACGGGTCCTCGGGCTGTTTGGGCTCCTGTGGCGCCGGTGACGGCTGGTAGCGGGACAGGAGCTCGAGTTGTTTGTAGACGATGCTGTATTGTCGATAGACGCCCGGCTTGACCAGTGGTCCGTAGGGCGGTGGTGTTGCGGGCGCTGCTGCTGGTCTTTGAAGGAGGGAGACGAGCCATTGCCAGAGTGATTTGCGCGGTGCTTCGGGCGTGGGCGTATGTTCTGTTGGTTCTGGCGGTACGCGATGGACGTAATATCCTAACCGTCTGAGGTGTGAGTAGACTTGGTATTTCGGAAGTGAGATCTTGCCGCGTTCGCCGTCCAGACCGATGAAGAATGAGTAGGCGGCTTGTAAACTCAAGGGTACGCCGGCATCAAACTCGTCGTCAGACTCTGCGTCGTCAGGGTTGGTCTGCTCTTCAGCAGGCTTCACCTCTGATGGCGGCAGGATTTCCTTGAGCTCGCGATACGGCCACCAAAGCTCCAAGCTACCCCTCTCGACAAGAAACAGCGCCTCCTCGGGCAACAGCCACAGCTTTCCCAATGCCGGCCTCGGCGTCTTGAGCCCTCGAATAACTCTGCCCATAGACCTCGCCTGCGGACCTTTCAGCTCCTCCACGACAACAACCCTCTCCTTGGCGTAAATCGGCCTCGTCTCGGTCATGAACTCTTGCAGATACTCGGGCTTCGCCAACCCCGACGTATCCCCATCCTCGATAGCTTCCATGATCTCGGGCCAGTAGTCCGGGAAGTACCAGCCCTTGCTCCACGTATCCCTGTGCACCCTCGTGTATCCCAACACCTCCTCAATGACCTGCCTGCTCGTCTCCAGCGCATTCTCCTGGGCTTTCGTGCCGTGCGACTCAAAGTCCTTTTGACCCTTGCGGACAGCTTGCGAGGCGACGCCTTTCTTGTTGAACATTGAGGCGAAGAGGCGCATGTCGAACAGGCCTTCGTCCTCGGCTTCGTCGCCAGCGCCCGAGTCATTGTTGAGCTGGGCCGCGGCCGGCGCCACGGTAGGATTGTCGTCGTCGTCGAGGGGCATTTTCTTTTCGTTTGGCAGGCGCTTCGATTTTTGTTTGGTGGCTTCGCGAGGCTGAACCGTGTTTTTTATCCTCTCGGGACCTCGATCGATCGATTACCAAACTTCCTTTCACGGTCGGTGCAATGTCGAATTGTTTTGCATATCGAGGTGATGTTATAGGTAAAGTGCTCGGTGTGAGTCTTGGTCGGGAAGGATCCCCTAGTGGGGGTAAAAAAAATTGGGTAAAGCTGCAGGAGGAGCTTGCAAGCTTTGACCAATTGAAGGTGTGCTGTGGTGTCACCGGTCCGTAACTGAAGTTAGCCCAAAGTCGAGGAAGTGGAGGGTTCATCATGTTCCTTCTCAGTGTACATACCGTCAAGATTGAAAATGACCGACAAGGACTTGGAATGCACCGTAGTTTGATGCATTATAAGTCGAATCAGCCCGTTTGATATTTCCAGGATTGTCTCATCAATGGGGAGTCGGACTGCTGGTGATGCAATGATGCCTGGGACTCAACCGATGTCACCATTGCACTCTGGGCTGGTACTGGGAGTAAATGCATATCTGCACCTACTCGTTGCGCGTTTCGGTACAATGGTTCTGACCGGGATAGCTGACTAGCAACGGGCCGTCGTAGATAACTCTCGATCATCCAAGAGACCACGGTGTGTTGAGCGGTGTGAGACCTGCGACGTGTTTGTCTTGGTCGAGGCGTTGCGTGATAGCCTGTCTCCGTGTGTGCGTGCAGCTTGCCTAGCTCGCTCCTATGACCGTCAAGAATCGCTCCGGCATTTTCACCCATCAGCTCAGTCCTCCGCCAGTTGTGGATTGATCGCAAAAAGTAGAGAGTAGGTAGAATATCTGTCTACATTCGTTCTCTGGTGATGAGGACGCCGTGAAAAGAATGAGGCTTGTCGGTTTTCAATCTGAAAGCTTGGTAGGGGTGAGGGGATTCAGAGTCCGAGCAAATGAGAGACGACAGTGAGGCAATTGAATGATCCGGTTTCAGACCAGGTGTTTGGCTTCGTGGTTCGGTCTGGACTTCTTCTGGAGACGTCTTACCCATCACTGTCCTTGCAAGTCCCGACGTAGTCAGATAGAGCCCTCGGGTGTACAGGTTCAACAGAAGCGAGTCTGCTCTGAGAACTTGCACAATGACGCCGCTTGAGGGACTGTCGGCCCAGGTGAGGAAGTCGAGAGAATTGATCCAGAGGCCGATCCGCTGATGCGCACAAAGAGCGAGCGCCAATGTCCTTGGTGTGCAGCTTGATAAAGTTGTAAATGCCGAAGGTGATGGTGATGAGTGTCAAGACAGGCAAAGGCGGGCGATATCTGGAACGAATAACGATGTCCGACATGTCGTCCGAAGCGTTTTACTTTCCGAAAAAGGTGTTTGTTGGTCTCTTTTCCCAGAAGAGGGAAAGAAAGCAAGGTAAGGTGGTGCAAGCAGATGCCACATCTGCCCGCACGTCGCTATCTCGCATATTGGTTTTTGTTTTTGTTTTTGTGCAAACTTGAAATCATTAGTCCTCGGGAGCTATTGAGTGCTGTGGGATGAGAACCGCTGGTTAGGGAATCTCAAAACTTACCTTGCTGGTGCATTGTTGAGACGCAGGTAGGCCACCTACCTGGGACAGTTTAAGGTCTTGTCCAGGACCATCATGATATGTAGTCGTAACATCACACCTCAATTGGAGATGCGATGAGCAAAAGCCTTGGAGAGAGCTGCGAAGTCTCCGTGATGGCCGCCAGGGCTTGCGACTTTCTTCATCGTCTCAGCTTCGTCACGGGGCTCCATGGCACCGTGATGGTGAGTTGAGGTATGGAAGTACCACTAGAATGCCTCCTTAGATTTCATGGACAGGTGGCCAACGTCTGGGATAAAAACAAAACTTACTGGAAGATCATGCTTCTTTCCCCGGTCGTTCTACTCAAGGATAATCGGAAAACACGCCTGCTCCGGGACTACGCCGAATTACTGTTAGCTTTGCCGCGCATTGTACAAGGGAACCTCAGATCAATCAAGTACATACCTCTGACTCGGTGCCAGTCCTCGAGGGTCAGAGTTCTGTGCAAATCCGTTCGTGGAGCTGCCCATGATGGCGTCGCCCTTGGATTATGCAGGATGGAGAGTCATATCCTCCACCGTTGGCTATCTGTAGAAATACCATGTCAGCAAAAGGCACAAATCTCTCGAGTCGAGAAGATGACAAGAAAAGGCCGCAGCGAGTCGAGTCGAATAAAATAAAAATTGAGTAGCCCGAAAGCGTGAATTCACCCAAGTGAGGGAAGGCGCGCCTCGATTGTAGGAGCTCCTAGAGGGAAAATAGAAGAAAAGAACAGACTTACCTCCTAATTGATTGCGATGAAGGGTAGAATAGAACGGCAATGTTGAGATTCTTACCATACCAGGAGCAGGGAGTAAGTTAAAGGTGAATATGTGGAAAGAGAAGTAAAGTAGAAAGGTAGAGATAGGGAATAGTTAAACTGTAGATCGAAGTTTAAAGGCGATAGAATTCCTGGGGAGAAGGGAAATAGAAAAAAAAAGGAAAGGAATAAAAGCGTAGGGTAAGAAGGAGAAGAGTGCAAGAGGGTAGAAGGTGCCGGATAACTTACCGTAAGAAGGAAGAGTAGACCCGGAATATTTGATGCCCTTACCACTGACTTGAAGATGCCTTGGATTACGTGGTAGAAAATATCCTCTAGTCTCGCTTATTTATTCGTACTTAATTATCTCTTTGAATTATAGATTGCATTGGTCTCTGAGGCACTCGGCCAGGTTGCTGCCTTGGAAGAAATGTCCTTTGATTTTCGGGTCAAACCCCCCTCAGTAACCTTCTTCACAGCCGAGACCTTCTCTGTGAGGCTGCGAAGATGGAAACACTACATCCCAGAGTTAGCTGAATCTTCCTTCTACTCAACATGGGAGTGTAAGTAGCTAGCTTGCTTCGTTGAATATATCCAGTTTTACAGCAAAGCCCGGGTTCTGTCCAACGAGAAGTGTGACTGATGGACCAGCCTCCGTGACGGTAAACATATTCCTATTCATGCAATAAACATCGTATGTATCAAACACCCCCCGAGCAATACTTCTCACAAGTTTATGGCTCCGTACTTACGTCTCCTTGAAGGGAGCGCGTCAATGGCATCAAGGTCGGTGAAGCCAGTAAATACGCTTCCAGATGGGCTGTAGAATCAAAATGAGACGAATACCAGCGGGAAAACTCAAGGCAATATGACAAGATGATAAAAGTTCCTGCCTGAGGAGCTTCATCTCTCAACAAGAACCGTTCAACGACTGCTTCACCTCTGCCTAGCCAGCACTCACCGCTTCGCTTCAGCTTTCTAAATCTCGGACGATTGCATACTTCATTCGCGACCAACCGGCTACTAGTAATACAAATCCAAAAATCATTCTGCAACCAAGGTTGAAAAAATACAATTGTTCTTCTAGTCTACATCTCATTCTTCATTGAGGCAAGCCACGTATCCAAAAGACGACCAGACGCCGCTCCCACCATCATCACCAAACACCATATCTACCTGCCTTAGGTCGCGACGATATTCCCGTTTTCTCATCAAGAATCGACAGCGAGATTGACATAAAAGGCAAGGTTCTTCTACCGCCCACAATGCCCCCTCGCACACGAGCGTCGTCTTCTAAGGAGAAGGTCCAAGTTGAACCGACTTCCAAGGATCACCTCGCGTTCACGATCGACCTCAAGTCGTTCGATCTGCGACAGGCATCGATGTGCCGCCTCCGGTTCCCGAAGCTTCATACGTCGCAGAGCTCACCCGATTGAACGCCAAGATCGCAGTTGCGAGACCGAGACACGACGTGGCCGGCCACTTGAACGAGCTGCTTGACCTGATCCGCCAGTTGGACGTTAAGGATTCGCAAGCCAACCCCTCGAATAGCGCCCCGACGAAGATGATTTCCGGCCAAGTCCTGCCCCCCGAGGAAGCTCAGAAAGCAGCAGAGCAGTGCCTGGTGAGTTATCCTCTTTTCGGTCCGTCTTGTCCCGATGCTGATCACTTGTTCATTCAGCTTCTGTGGCTACAGTTGAACCAGTTCGATAACTCAGCCATCGTCGACAAAGTCTTCTTCAAAAACATGTCTCATGCCTGCCGAGTGCTCAGAGACACCTCTCGAGTCCCCTACGAGCACTTGTACAAGCTCGTTAGCCTCATGGCAATGAAGAGCAGCGCTGCCAACTACGCACCAATGACCGTCGCCGACTTCGCCGAGATAATGAGGAAAACGTACCACGAGGAGCTCCTCATCTTCAATGAGTATCCCAAGCAGCAGACGACGCCTCTCAATGGAGACAGTGACGCCGTACTCTTGTACGTCACAACCAATGTCAAGGAGCACCTACAGCAGCAAAAAAAAGGGTATCGAGACCAATGAAGTAATAGTTTCCTCTTTTACGCCTTATATCCTATCAGGTATATGCTTGGCCCAGACACGATATTAGATGCTTCTCTACGACGCTAAGACGCCGGCACAGTGCCTACGATAACCCGCGCAAGTCCGAGTAGGTTATTACACGCGTCGTCGCTCACGCTGGCCTCATCTCGAAAGACACTCAGGACGGATCGAACTGAGAAGGCGATACAGGAAATCCATCACTCTTACCAGGACCATCAGAACCGGACGTCAAGATGATCCCCAATCCGAATTTCGATGAAGAAGCTAGCATGGACACCGATGTCGCCCTCTTGGAGCTCCTCTTCCTTGGCCTCACCGGATCGGAATCGTTGACGGTCGATTCAACAAGAGCACCACTGACGATGCGATACAGTGTGGCTCCAATGGGGCAATACGATCTGCGGACAAGCTTGAACCGGAGTAATATAACCAACACCGAAGAGCCAAGATGAAGAAAGGTCCTACGGATGCGGGATCGGGAACTGGAGTGACGACGCCTGAGATCGGCCGCAGGTAAGGATATGGGATCGAGCAAGGATGACTAAATGAGTTCGGGGATGAGATGATCCTTTCTTGAGGACGATGGTTTCTGGGGTGCGTAGGGACGTTCCAATGCCATGAGATGATGAGAACAATCGTCTGGCGCATCGGCGAAGCGGCCGAGGCCTGAGGCGGGTTGACGGCCGATTACCCACTTTACCGATGTGATCCGATATGATTGGTCACTTTGTATCCAACCCGCTCGGGGCCGAGTTCCACGGCTCCGCGCCACATTGCAGGATAGCCCGGAGTTTGCCATACGAGCAAAAGATGCGGAAGTGAAATCGCAATCGCAATCGACGCTCTCACAATATGTTGGGGGCTATACCTTTCTTGCAAGTTTAAATGACTTGTACATATCTCGTGCTAAGCCCGGAGAAAGTGGTTCCTGAACCGGATCTCGGGCTCAGGCGCCAGGACCCAGATCTGCTGCTTATTCAGTCGGAAGATCATGCCGAGTGGCAACGCACTATTGCTGTAGAGAAGTGGTAAGCTGAAGATGAATCCAAGAACCTTGGCTAGCGCCTTGCCGGTGTCTAGAAACCTAATCTCTCAAGGTAAGCAGCTAAGCTTTTCGTGACTCTGGACTCTTAAACATGACCAGACTATTTAGTCAACTACGGTAGATGCTAGTCTTTTGGTTTAGCTGTGGATGTTGTTTCGAATGTGGGGGAAACGCGTAGTGGCTAAACATGGCTAGCATATTCCGTGCATGCATACTATGTTCGTCCCAGAAAAATCACAAGTCTTGTGTTTCCAGCAAACTCGAATAACTCTTAATATTGCAGACAAGTCTGCTTGCATGCTCGACATGACCCAGTTGTCTACTCGAAAGTAGTGGCTTCTCTGGTGGGTGGTTGTGCATACTCACTAGTCACACCTGTGAACAACCAAATGCATAAACAATGCATTTCAAAAGCAAAACAACTGGCATGTTTCCTGGCCCCATAAGCCTTGCCCCGCATTGGGACTAGCGTACCTGCTCCAGGCCACCAAGGTCAGCAACCCCCATGTCCCCCGCCCCTCACCGTCCGAACTCAGCCATCCGCATCACAAACTATCGCCCAACCAACATAAACATGCTTTTCTTCATCAAAATCATCAATCCAAATCAGGTAGAGTGGCCGAGTGGTTAAGGCGACAGATTTAGGTTTACGTAAGCAACTTGCGAAAATCTCTGTTGGGAAACCGCGCGAGTTCGAATCTCGTCTCTATCAGGATATATCCTTTTGCATTTTTGACATCTTGACAGTGGGGGAGATTGTATGGACTTTTGATGACGGTGCCTCTCACCTCTGGTGGTACTCTCTCTTTTTGACCTAAAGCACATGGTCCTTGACGTACTCTGCTTCCTGGGGGTCTTGGATTATGCGTTGTTGACCCAGACCTGAGTCATGGTTGGTGAAGCTACCCACCACCCATGATCCCCAAGAGGACAGCCATGTTGCCAATCCGGCAACTGGCACTCGAGGATACTAATACAGATAATGTTGGAGGAGACCTCAGTGGTCACTATGGTCACTGCCATAGTGTTGTCCGCGCAAGTATCAGCGGTGAGTGCATGTCATGATCGATTATTCTGATACCCCAGGTAGAAGTGCCAGCATTCTAAACACAGGTGTCCACAACTGACTGACCTTGAAAACGAAAGGCTAGACTTCTCACCAATGCGTCCGGTAGCTTGTTGGCGGCTTTTGAAGTCATGATGTTACTAGAGAGGCAACTCTCGCCTCTACCATGGTAAACATGTCGGTATGCTAGTTTTGACCCTAACCGAGGAGGTGCCGCCATTAGTGAACTCGTACCTAATTGCAAGAAGGAAGGTGCTTGTAGAGCAAACGTCAAAGCTCCGGCGTAACTTTCCAGAGGTGCTTAACTCGAGTGACAAGTCGAGTTATCTTAGATGGTCCCATCTTGTTCGACCTGTGCCCGTCTTGGCCAAGTTAACCTCGGGAAGCTTATCATTAGCAAACTTCCACTTGAAAGCCGCTGGCTGAGCTGCTGTTCCCGTTGTGGAGGTGTTGACCTTCCACTCCGAGACAAGCTTGCTCGGCTTACTTGAACATCCTCAACAGCGTCTTCCAGCCCAATCGTCAAGCTCGCAGCCTTCTTGGACTACAGCCTCCAGGGACTTCTCTTGCTCTTCTTCGAGCTCTTGGGTGGATCCGGCGACTTCCGCATCTGGTGTGCGCCCTACTTCTGATTTCGAATCAATATCCCGCCACGAGCAAGTCTACAGGAGGCTCTATCTTACTAGGCTTCTTCAAGCATATTACCTAGAGAATATAATTGGAGAACTGACCGTTCATGCAAACGCGCGAGGACATGATCAGACCTTGCTTTACTGGTCGCGGCAACGGGATTCAACCCATGCGCTGAAGGAAGCGACGTGGGATGCCGCTTTGGGAACATGCCGAAAATGTCTTTACCATCATCAAGAGGGTTGACGAGGAACCCAATGGCAAGGAGACAACATCAATGCTTCCTCCACCGAATACATCTACTACTCCGACTTGTCCAATAGTTCATGGACGACGACAGGGACTTCTCGTCTACATCGGACCGACAGAGTACACTCGAGCCCGAGTCCGACATCGACCGACGCCACGACGACAAACTTGACTCTAAAGATGAATGCCATCCCGATGAGACTGTTATCCACCATGGATAGTAGTGATAAAATGAGAAAGAGGGCTGGTGATGTGTTGGCCGGCGGGGTTTTTTGTCGCCAACTTTGGAGCAAATGAGACCTTATCCTCAGGGACCGACTGGGCACCAGCCAGAATGTTATATCAACTCGAATACTTCCATGGATTCTAGCACGGCCTCAGGACAGCCAGCCTCAGCTGTTCAAACTCGATGTACATGCGATCATGTGACAAGCTCGAGACGCTGCCAGCGTGACGTGGGTCACGTCGAGCGAGGTACATGGCGAGATGGGCTCACTCTCCGAGAGTCTGCATCACAGAGATGTTGCCTCAAGCAATGAGCCTCGATAACAAGTGACTGACTTCAATCACGGAGTATCCGACCGAGAGAGCACCCCGACGATAGCCAGGTCCCTTGCGACCTGATCACCTCTATTTGTAATTTTCTCCAGCCAAGCTCAGAATCAGAGGCGACTCCTCCCAAGCCTGTGGCGTGAGATATGCCCATTGAAACCACCATGCCGTTGTAAATGAAATCATATCCAGATGGACCCCGATGACCAAGGAGGCTCGAGAAAGCATACCGGCGCCGAGATATCTATTTCAACACATATTCCCATGGCTCTTGAACCCCACGCCTTCGTTTACCAACATAGGTAAGATGTGATCTCAGGCTCCTCAGAGTAAACTGCCCCACGAAATGCGCCTGTGATGAAGCTGAACCCGAGTGACAGAGCCTACCTCCAGTCCGTGATGCAAATGAATTTACAGCATCAAGTTTCCACATCAAAACATCTCGAGTATTCAACGGCTGGCCTTGGAGTATATTCATCTCGCCATCCTGCCTCATCTGCTCCTCAATCCACCACACACCTCTGATGGCCCTCATCCGGTCCCTCACAGGCACCAAAAATGACACCAGCTCTCAACAAGCGGCGCCCGTCGTAGTCGATGGTCGAGCGATACGATTCTATCGTATGTTGGCTCACGGTCCTGCATAACGCCATGGATAGCTTGTTTTTTCTTCTTCTTAAAGGTCAGAGATTCGAGTCGAATTTCACAGGGTGTTTTTCCCTTCCTTCTATTTATGCGTGGATCCTAATCTGTCCGACCTTACTTCCCTTCCCGCATACCGAAAAAATGGGAAACTGATTTATTCCACCTAATGCTCACTCTGCTACCAAAAAATCCTTGCGAGCGTCGGATTCTTAGGTTTAACAGGAGACTAGCGACACGGGGGATGGAATGTCTCTACCTATCCCCCAAAATCTTTCCTCTTCACACTGGTGGGCTGTCAATTTACGCGAACGTGCCGTTGCTGTTTGTCGTCTATATCTCAGGGTTCGCCTTTCTCGATGTCGACATCCAATGCCGGTCATCATTTCATAGTCGAACATAGAACTTGCTCTCGGTAGAAAGCCAACTTGCCCTTTCGAAGTTTGGTTTAAAAGCCGCTTAGAATGGAAGAGACGTCACGATACATACAACCCTCTCAGTTCCGATAGAGACAGAACACCTGGAGTACAATGACGTATTCCGGGGCCTCCTCGGACTGAGAGAAGGCATCTTGGCTGCGGTGTGTTGGTTGGGAAACAGGAAACCCGAGAGATGGGACGAGGGTAAGAGGCTATGTATAACAAAGACCTCTCGATACTGATTCGTCGCTCGCACATATTCGTGGCACGATACAAAACTAGCACAGAAGCGTGACTCGAAGTGACCAGCCAAAGCTCTCCTCCAAGTATCAAAAATGCCGTGTAACAAACAAGACCAAGCTACTTAATTTGACCTTGTCCTGGTTAGGAGAACCTCACTTAACAGACACGAAAATAAATCAACCCAGTATCTGAAACGAAATACCAGAGGCAAAAAGGTTTGCTTGTTCAAGAGTAAGCAATGAGATCACCACACACGCACCCCCCACAGCGTGCGATTGGTATTCCTTACATAGAAAAAGAGTACACGTCCTAGGAACTTTGCTCCTTGAAGTTAAAATACCTGAAATAAGCTTGCCCACCTCTTACGACCTCAAAACACCACTCAACGGAACCCGTAAATCACTCCGACGCCAACCACCAACACCTCAGAAATCATCACACGGAAAAGGCTTTACTTTGTTCATCAAGAGTGGCATTGAGATTTCCCACCACCACACCCCGAAAAGCGGTGAAAGTTTCTATTCTACCTTACAGAAAAGAAGAAACTGTCCCTAGGAATTTTGCTCATTGTAGCTAACCCCCCCGAATCAAACTTTGCCACCATTGCGACCTCAAACCATAAACCCGGTCGCCGAGAGTTGAAAACCTCCAGATTTTGCCCTCGAAGCAAAAAAGACACAACCGTCCCGTCCATCAATCCAGTCCCTAATTTCCCAACCCACTTCACAAAAAAGGGGAAAAGAGAGAAAGAGAGAGAGAAAGAGAGAGAGAGAGCGAGAAAACAGTAAGCAATTTTTTGGATATCATGCTCTTTCTTTGTTCCACGCACAAAAGTAGTTGGAAGAAACCCGCCGCCTCCCAGAAAGACAGAGTGCAGTAAGGAGGAAGTCTCCTCTAGTTCCCTCATCCTCAAGTAATTGATGACCAAGACCGTTACACCACCTATGGTGCAGTTAAAAAGAAAGTCGTGAGAGGGGAGAGTGGTGGAACAACCCCACCCCCTTCTAGTCATGAAAAAATCATCCATCAACCAACACGTCTACGCTTGTTACCGCGGTCCGGGCTACCAGTGATCCCATCGAAGCTATCCCGCGGAACCTCTTCAGTCCCGGTGGAGCTCGGTGTGCCATTGACATTGCCAGCACCGCCATTGTTGGCAGCTGAGCCGTCGAGCGTAAAGTTGAAGTCGTTTCCATCGCCGTTGAAGTTGACGCCAGGGTACGCGCTGTCACCCTGGAACGCGTCCGGGTTCAGGAACTGGTCAATGTCGAGGTCGCCGTCAAAGTAGCCGTTCACGTTGCCGTTCTCGTCGATACCCGGTATGCGACCTGACGGGCTGAGTGGGCCGAGCATGCTGGAGAGGTGGTCCAGCTTCGCGGCTTGTTCTTCCTGCATCCGGTGTAGTGCGGCGAGATCTTCTTGGTTGAAATTGATCTGCTGTAGTGAGGGCGGCGGCGCGGCGGAGCCCATGATGGGGGAGAGGGAGAGACCGGGGGCGGCGGGCATGGGGGGTGGCGTGTCGGGGGTAGCGGTGACGGATGGGGGCGGCGGGTTGGGTGAGGCGGACATGGAAGGCTTGGAGGACTGTGGTGCGTTGGTTGAGGGTGTTGCGGAGGACCGACCGGCCATGGCATTCAGCATCTTGTTCCGTTGGTCGTTGCTCATTGTGGCGGGAGTATTGTTGACGACGTGGGGGAGATCGATGCCGGATGAGTTGTTGGCATTTGTATCGTGAATGATCTTCATCATGCTCTCATGGGGATTCGACTCGAGCTCTTGCGCTAGATAGTTGGTAGGTGATGTGTGGTCGCCGGGCGATGTGTCAAAGAGCTCTGTGACGGTACCCATCTCGCGGTTGTACGGCTGAGGCGTCGCGGAGCCGCTAGCTGGTGACGGCGATACCGTATTCGCGCGACCGTTGGGGATGGGCGGCAGCAACGCTTGCCGGCGCTTAGGTATGTTGATGTTGTTTCCTGCCGAGGTTTGTGCTTGCACGTAGTCGCCCAGATCCACGACGCTTCCCTGAGGTACCGAGCTGGAGCTGTTGCCGTTCGGAATGATGCTCGCGAGAAGGTCGTTTACACTCTGCGGACCCGCCTGGTCCTCGAGCGTCTTCCTAAACACGTTGGCCAAAAAGTTCAGGATGGCGTTGATCGAGTTCTGGTGGCGGTCGTGTTGGCTCTGGAAGACGACAGCCTGCTGATACAACGCCGTATTGTCCCCCTGGATCCGCTGAATCGCCGTCATGATCATCCTCTGCTGCTCGCGCACCTTGGCCAACTCTTCCCGAATCAGCGTCATCTCCTTCTTCTGTATCGGCATGTCACCCGAAGGTGGCAGGGCTTTGCTGGCGGGTGCACTGGCGGTGCTAAAGCCTTGTGTCACGCCATCGTCAATATTGACGGCATCCTCCTCGCTGTCACCCTCGACTTCTGCATTCTTGGCGCCCTTCTTGCCCTTGTTACCGCTCTTTGGTTTGTTAATGAGCCAAAGCAGGTTCGGGTGCCCCCGTCGGAAGAAGGGATTCGAGTACTCGCTTGGGCTCTTGTTCTTCCGCTCGCTTGCGCGCATCGAGTTGTCCGACAATCCGACCCGTTTGTGGAAGCCATACATATTGAGCTGTCGTACAAAGGAAGCATAGTTGTTGTGCTTGAACAGGTCGGGAATCAGCTTCTTCGCGAATTCATCCTCGTCGAGAACGATAAACGAGTCGCCCTTTTCCGACCACCGAATGAGCTCAGAATTCTTATCGTCGTCGAGAAAACTGTTCAATATTAGTATGAGCTTGCTGCCCAAAACACGACCTTGCGCGGCTTCGGAGGCATGGGAACTTGACTTACCTGCTCAACTTCTGCACAAACGGCGGAATCTGCTTCCGCTTCTGCTGCGCCTCCCTCATGGCCTTGCGAGCCATCTCCTCCAGCACCTCTACGTTATCCGTCTCGGCCATTGTTCCGTTTGCTTGTTGTTGCTGCAGGAGCGCAGAGTCTTCGCCGACAAAGGACCAAGGGTCGCTGGGCGAGTCAAAGTTCTGCCTCGCGCCCGTGGGGACGAGTGCTCTATTCATCTGCCTCCGCGCGATGGCATTATTGGGACTCGGTGTGGGCTGCACGAATTGCTGCTGCGCTTGTTGCTGCTGCTGCTGACCGGGGACGAGGCCGTACGAGTTGACAGCCTGGGCGCCTGTTCCGTCCACAAGGCCCGCAGCAGCATCCGCCGCTCCTCCCCATCGCAAGAACTGGTCGCCGGTCGGGCTGGGAAATGACTGCTGGACCTGTGGCATCGGCATGGTGGGTATCGTTCCTGGCGCTGGTCGCTTTCGAGGGTTCGAAGACATGGGAATGTGCATGTACGCCTGGGGTGTGTGTGTTGGTTCGGGTGAGAAACGAGTTTGGTTTGCCCGTTGGGAGAAATCAATCGGTCAGGTCGCCGGCTGATGCGGCGCCTTTGAGGCGGACGTGATAGGCTGACGCGCCGGGGGGCAGTCGCCTTGCTTCGGTGAGGCTCGTTTGAATCTTTTTTTCGCGGCGGCCGCGTCTGGTGGGTTTGCGGGTTGAAAGCTGTAGGCAGCCTTGTGTACCCAGTAGTCGTCGACAGCAGAGCAGGCAAGAAAAGCCACCTCCTCTTTTTTGCGTTTTCACAGCGGTGTCGAGAAGCGAAGAGCGGCGACGGCGACGGCGGATGGATCGGTCGGGATGGTGCAGAATAATCGGAAATTCGCCTATCGCATGCGCAATAAACCCTGCAGTCTGCGGGGAGCCGAAGAGTCGTCGGTCGTTGAAAAGCGCGGTGACTGAAAGAAAGGGTGGTGGGTGGAATATGGACCTCGTGGTTCTATATACGTTCGGGATCGGTCGTTGGGTCGTGAAGCCTGGGTCTCTCTTCTCTCTATGTCCAAATTGCTGAAAGGGCAGGCTGTACTCCGTAGGAGAGGGGGAAAGCCTGAGTCAATCGCCAAAAGCCGTGGGAGAAGGCTTTCGCAAAGGAAGTCTATTGTGTGAGAGAGGATGAGAAGAAAAGAAAAAGCCGACAACAACACTTCGAACTATGGGCGGCCAAAGAAGCCCTTGTCGCGATAGGTTGGGCTTGAGTTTCGGCGCAAGGGTGCGATTGTCTCGGTCGCGGAGGATGCTGCGAAAGCTCTGAATGAGCGAGAGGTTCCCGCTGCTTCTTTTTTTGGGTTGGAGGAAAGGTGAGTGTCGTTGTGTTAGGTAAGGCACAACTACCTTAAAACGGTACCTTGTGGTGAGGGCGTCAGGCGTCAGCGGTTGGTGCTTTGCTTGGCTTGAAGGTTCAAGGTCGTGCTTTGGTCGTTGACCGTTGCTGGCGGTTGTTGCTGCTGACTGCGGTCTGCTTGCTGGCTGATGCGGGCGTAGCGCGTCTCTCTCTCACTTTTTTTTTTCTCGTCTTCTTCCAAGGTGCGTGGTGGGGGGGATGATGTCGCTACCACGTCGTGTACTGTGGGTTGATGGGAATGTTTTAAAAGAGGATAATTGGATAAGGAGGGAAGTGTCTCTCTCCAATTTAGGTATGTGCGTGCTTAGGTAGCAATTTGAGACCAGTTCGTGACAGGCACCCTACAAAAAGAGGGTTGAAGAAGAATAAAGTGACAAGGCCGTTTCTTGTCCGAGTAAGAAGGGGACCACAGGCTCAAAGGATTAAGAAGAAGTAAGATCAGGTCTGAAGCTGCCTGGTGTCTGGACTGGGGGGACAATATCGTTATTGTATTATCATTATCAGCTAGACGGGAACGAGACCATGAGAAACTGAGGATCCCAAAGGCTGAGAGTTCAGACCCGAGCGGAGACCCTGAAGGAGAAGACCTCCACTGGAAAGCACCAGCCCACCACCGGCCACCGGCCACCGCCCGGGGCCTGGGACCGCCAATGAGCCCCATCCAAACACCATTTCATAACGGGAACCGTGGTCGTTCGGGGGCCCTCGACTGGGAACTCTGGGACGGACGGGTCAGGATAAGGTCCCTTGGACACGGGACAGATCGTCCGGCCCAATCAGCAAGCAGCTTCATCTCGATCCCTCACCGACACTGCCACCAAGACTGAGGTGACCAAAAACCACCCCGCCATCCTCGCACCAGCTGTCAAAGCATCAATTCTTCAATCTCCCACAGTATCTTCCGAATTCAATGTTTCCACCTTTCCACGCACAGCTACCAAATACAGCAGAACAAGGGGTCTGGACTCGGCCGAACTGCCGTTTCCTTCACGGTGTCTCCCGCCGTCTTCTCGAGGCCATCTCGATGACGCGTGTGGGGACCCGGCGGGGGAGCTTTCCCCCTTACCAACGTCATTTTCCTCCGATTCCTAGCTTATTCTTCGATCCCAGCTCTTCCAAGCACGGCCCATTCCCCAACAGCAATTTTTTGTCACGTCTGAATAGCATCGCAGGAACGAATAGTCTCTAACGGGAGGACCCTCTCCAAAAACTTTGAATCTTCGCATCTTCCTTTCGAATTCAGGGGTATCATTGGTTTTAACTGGCCCATCATGTCCCGCCCCTACAGAGTCGCATTCAAACCCTTGTTTCCTGTCGTGGTACGGAGTACTTACAGATATACCATGATGCTTCATGAAAAACTACCTTGCACCTCTGCCCGCAAGAGCCGAAGCTCTGGCCATCTTTGCATTCCGTGCCTGATCCCATTCGCGCCCGGAGTTTCCGCTCCGGGCCTCTCGCGATGCCTTCTTCTCCTCTTGCAGCGTCCTGGCCTTTTCCCTGGGATCAATCACAACCAGCTCCTCCTCTGCCTTTTTGCGATAACTGAGATCCTTGCCCAGCTTATCCGCTTTAAAGCTGAGCGCCCGTGACATCCACCCTTCGTCGTCGCTGTCTTCCTTGGCGGCCTGATCCCACGCTTTGCAACTCTGGCAATCGGCAATAAAGTGAAGATCACAAAGTTCCGCTTCCTCCTCGGCGACCTTGTCATCCTCCTTAACCGCCCCCTCCTCCTCGGCAGCGGAGATGGGCCCGTCTCCCTTCTCCGGAGCCTCCTCCGGCGGCGCCTGATCCAACTTCGATTTGAAGGCTTTCAAGAAATCGAGAGCTTGTTGGTCTTCACGGCTATTGGTATTACCGCCGGGCCTTCTCCTCCTGCCCCGGATTGACGTCTCGGGAATCATGCTCTCGAGTGCAGACTTCTTGGTCTCCTTGACCGGTTCGGAATGAAAGCTCCGCTTCATCGAAGCCTTAAGAGCGGCAATCTCCTCGTTAGTCTTCTCGAGAGCCGTCTTGGTATCGCGAACCTCAGGCTCTGGCGACGGAGAATCTTGAAGTCGAATAGGAATGGCGCTCTTCTTCTCCGATAACACCTCCTTTGGCGGTGCCGTCCGTTTCTCCTCGACACGTTCGGGCTCGGGCTCATCTCGTCGCGGAGGTTCCGGCACTTCCACCTTTGCCTTGCCTTTCGATTTAGACTTGGTTGACTTCTTCACGACCGGTTCTTCCTCCTCATCCACGTCCATTACTATCCTCGTGTCGAACTTGGTCCTCTTCAAGACCGGAACCTCCTCGGCGTCGCCCTCGTCATCCCCAAAGCTCAAGAGCTGTTTCCCGCCTTTCCTCTTCTTTTTCTTTTCGATGACCACAGTCTTGGGTGTCTGGGTCGCAACCCTTGACCTCTTCACCATGTCCTCAAAGGGGTTGACGAGAATCTCAACATTTGTAATCTTGACAGGGTACGTCGGCCGGTCCGTTCCTGGAGTGACTTCCCCCTCGCCCATCTTCGCTAAGTTGTATATCGTGTCGCCAGCTACCCGCCCGAACAGCGTGTTCTTACCGTTGAGTTCATCTGCCTGGTCGAGTGTGAAGAAGAACTGGCTGCCGTTCGTATCGGGACGACTTTCGTTCGCCATGCCCAGTTGCCCGCGCCGGTTCCATTTCAGCCGTGAGTGAAACTCGTCCTTGAACCCGATGCCCGTCGGTCCGGCATTGAGACCGCGCCGCTCATCCATTGGCCAGGGGTCCAGCTCGCCGCTGAATGCGCCTCCGTCGTAGATGGACTCGCCGCCATTGCCGGTGCCTGTTGGGTCACCGCCCTGGAGGATGAAGCCCGGCACAAGTCTGTGGAAGATTGTGTTGTCGTAGTAGCCATCGAGGGCAAGTTGGAGGAAGTTTCGGCAGGTGAGTGGTGTTTGCTTGGCAAAGAGCTCGACGGAGATGTCGCCTAGGGTGGTGTGGAGGATGACGGACGCAGTCGGCTGCGGTTCGAGGTTGTAGATGGCCGACATCTTGGCCGGCCGTGACGACGCTCTGTCGAGTCAAGAGGTGAGGTTCCGGGTAAAAGAGGGAGGTTGTTATGGTAGAAGTGCGTGGAACAAATGGGTGGATGCAGCTACAACCATCGAAAGTTTCTAGATCGTCGTCGGGGAGGTAGCGTTAGAAAGGTTTATCGATAAGGTCACGTGCAGCTACATTGGGACGTCATCTGATTCGGTACCACTCTGTCGGTTCCACCCCTTGCCTCACTTCTTCCTTCGCATCGTGTAAGTGCTTCCCTTGGTTGGGTTATATCTTCAAGACTGTTCAGTAAGAGCATCAGCTGAGGGGCACTTAGCGGGAACTCTGAGTAGCCAATAGCCCACATTTATGTTTCAGTTCACTGAAGTGTTTGCTTTTCATAATGAAGATACTTTGTCCTGTCCTTCTCTGCTTTCGGATTGAATACTCTTATGGAAGGAGAACTGAGGTACTTCGGTCCAAGGATCTTTTATCCTGTTATAAAAGGTCGGGGGAACGTGGCCGAGGGGTATGAGGGGGGAATCGAAGTACTAACCTGAAAGTCCTCGAGCCTCACTCAACCAGAGCTTTTGCTCGATTCCTTATTGACGAACTCTTTTTTTCTCCCACATGTATTTTTTTCCCCTGATGACATGTTAGCTTCATAAGAATGAGTCGAAGAAGGCCAGAAAGCCGACAGAGCGCATCTTATTGAATACTCCGACTGGTCTTCCCACATCGACCTTGTCCATGCTATGTGATACACACACGGCACGATGCGCAGCCTTTCCGAAGTACTCACTTGCCCAGCAAGGTCCATAGAATTCATCCCGCCCATGTTACAGTATAACCTAAATCTGGAAGACCATCGGATGTCTTGGTCTATAGACGGCCCGCCAGGACTTGTGGAAAGTTGAGTTTGCACCTCTTCTCCAATACATCACTGCACTTCTTAAAAAAAAAACGAAAAAACTTCATCTTCCTCCTGCACTTGTCTTCGGCATGACACTATTCTTGTACGTATACCCATAGGAGAGCCAAAAGCAGCAACATCTCTACTTCATTCTTCAAATCGACGTAGACTAGTACTACCATTTCCCTTCGGTGCCCAAGTCCCTTACCGCGTGCAATATACAACCTTCAGAACCATACAAGAGCCCGTTCGGGAAAATGCCTTGTCAGACTCGTTCAGCCACTCGAAGGGCAGCGTCTTTAGACTGTATAGAGACACTTGTACACATGAGGGAAGCCGCACTCGCAAACACGGAGCCAGCAAGAAGCAGCAGCACATCTCCAGCACCGAGCCACAGCCCGCACGTATACGGACCACACATCCCGAGACCCACCTCCCCCACGCCAGGACAACCACCCGTAGGATCCAACGAGGACTTATATCGTCGGATGCGGTTACAGCAAGAGTCACGATACTTTACCGAGAGTAATTGTAGAGAAGAAGGAAACCATACCTCGCCTAGCAGTAGCAGCGCGGCAGCTACGGTATTCACCTCTGAGCCGTTAAGTACGAGGAGTAGCGGTCTCATCTCGTCGTCGCCGGAAGACTCGAGCGAGGATCACCGCAGTGGCGCAGCTGGTGACGGTACGTACGACTCGCAGGCGACTGAAAGCGCCCCCGAAGACGATGAGTTGAGTCATGAAGAGGTGGAGGAAGAGTAAGTTTCGCCTTTCTGCAAAAGACACAAAAAGAAGGATATTGACCGGTGACGTAGGAACAGAGAGCTTTGCTGTATTTGCCCGCGTGCCCACGGCATTCTGGGCCTTGGGCGTGTCAGGAAGGCGGCAACTCTCCAGCTCCGGAGGAAGTTGATGAGCCGTGCTGTTGCCCTGGTCCTGATGCTGGCGTCTGTGGGCCGGATTGCGAGGGGAGGGAAGGTCAGGGACATGTTAGAGCAAAGTCATCTGAGCGGGAGTCAGCATCATAAAAAAGCCAAGTCCCAGGAACAACACGTGGCGGCTCTTGGGTGTGCGATGAAATGCGGTTTGTTCTTGTTTTTTTTTTCCCTCTTGAGTGCTTATAACGACTATGATGATTGATCTTTGGCAAAAGTGTTTGCAACAATGAATGGGAATACCAAAGTGGCATCCGCATAGACCTACAAGCATTACAGGCGTTAGCAATGAGTACACATAATTCTCTCCAAACCAGTTGCTCGTGGTGACATACCTTGACGGCATCGGCGCCAATCTTGATCTTGCCCCAGGAAACGGCCTCGTCCGGCCTGGCGCCCGCATCACTTCCGTCAAACTCCTGGCCAGTGTTGATGTACACGGCCGACTCGGCGCCGTTGCGCATCAAGCAAGCGTTCGCAATGTGATGCTTGATGACGCCGCCGCCCAGGATAATCATACCCGCCCTTTTAGCGCGCACCGACATGGTGTTAATCTTGCGGATATCCTCGACGATATCGCACTTGAGCTGACCAGGCGACGTCTTGAAGGTGTGGAAATACAGCATATCCCCCAAACTTCCGTCCGTGAGCGCGGGGCAGAAGACGGGAATATCGTTCTTCCACGCCCAGTAGTAGACGGAGCGCTCGTCGTTAATCTCCTTGCCGAGGCGGTGAATCATCTTGGAGGGCGTCCAGTTGATCTCGTCGTCGGTACCCTTGCTGGCCTCCTGCTCCTCGTACATCTTGTCAAAGATGGGCACCACCCAGTCCTCGAAAGCGCGGTAGTTAGAGTTGGGCACGACGAGGTTGCCGATGCGGTTCTGGCCCTTTTTGCGCAGGCCCTCGCCGTCGGCGCTGAAGGAGGACATGTAAGTGTCGCCGAGGCACTTGATAAAGTCCTCCTCGATGCCGCCGGCCGTGGTGACGATGGCGGAGACGTGCTTGTGCTTGACGAGCCACCGGAAGACGCCTCGCATGCCGGAGGAGATTAGGTTAGAGGTGTAGCCTAGGAAGATGGTGGTCTTGTCGCCGGTTTCTGGGTCTCGCCATGCTCTCTTGACGTTGCGAACCCCCCCTGTTAGCAGGGTCGTCCCATAGGTGGGAGTTAGTGGTGGTGGCGGCTCACCATGTCATTGATGATCCGGATGGACTCTGTCAAATTCGAGGCTTGGAAGCCCATGAATCTCATGCCATTATAGAGGCTCTCGGCGGTGATGGGTCCCTTGATATCGTCAAAGTCCAACTCCTCGACCTTTTGGGCGCCCTCGGGCATTTCTTCCGAGACGACGAGGACGGCATCGGTTGCTGCCGCCGGCGGGGCATTGGGGTTTTCTTGAGATGCCATGATGTTCTTTTCTGTAATTGAACGAATGAGGGACATACACCGGAAACAGGCTGCAGTTGCGTTGCGAATGGGAGTGTTCTCAAAAGTGAGATTGTCTCAAGCCCACCGAACAAAGGTACATACCAGTGAGGGGAGTGGCGATCTATAGCCAATACTGGGAATACAAATCGGCGGAGAATTGTGTACGCAGGTCATATGGCTGTCAGACAAGAACCCTGTGGCTGTTTCAACCCAAAAATAAGGTGTGTATATCCGTATTCTCCTTTTTCCTCGGCAATCAGGGAGTTGACCAAAAGTCGGAGCTGGCATGCGAAAAAAGTGACCATCCACACACACCACAGATTCAGAATGGCTCCGTCCGGGCGGGCATGGGATGACTCCACGGCCGTGATGTTTAGAAAAGACGGACTCCACTCTGCAAAGAATTTTGACGGATAGGTGGAGTAGCAAGCGGCAGGGTCTGCCACGGCGCGCGCGCACAGGGCCCACCCTCGAATTGCGAGTGTCCACCCGTGCAGGACGGGTCGTCTAATGGTAAGGTGACACGGCGACGAGGTGTGTGTCCTGTCTAGTTACTGCAATGTGGTGTGTGTGTGTGGCAAGTGCAGCTGGTTGGATGTCTGTTGAATGCGTTCCTGGACATACAGCAAAAGAAGACTTGATGGATTTGGGTTGCACAAAGAGGGGAGGCTCATCGGTGAACGTAGTACGAATACCTAGGTACCTTAGGTAGAGATGATGTGGATTTGGTGAGGGTTTGTCTGTGGACACCTTCAGTTGGACCGTGGACGGGACGGGACTCGGAGAGGTTTCCATAGGTTGGCAAACATTGAAGGATACGTACCGAATCTTGAGAAACCTGGAAATTGAGATTTCGGACTGAACGTATCTGGCCTTATGTAATACTCCGTACTGCGTCAGCACGGAAGACAGGCATTGTTAGATGGGACTTGGAGGCAGGCACAGGGCCAAAGACAACAACCTTACCTAAGGTGTACGCAGTACCTTCCAGGCACGCCAGGTAAACCTGGAACTGCCGTGGGTCCCGCTAACCCCCCAAATGAGACTAGCGCGTGTCGGCGGTAAAAGGCTGGCGCTGCCCCCAAGCGAATTTGAGATCCATCCAATTCAGCCCAGTGCCAAACCTGGAACTAAGCGCCACTGCACGCGAACCGTATTTTGCAGGCAGGCTGCCCCGAACGTGGCCGTGGCCGTGGCCGTCCAAAACTGGCCGCTGGGGGTCCCGTCTTCAATCCTTCAACATCCATCACACGATTGCTCGCCAAAGTGCCCAAGTGTCGCATCTCCGCGCTTCATCCACGACGACACACAATCGACGCCCATCCGGAGCCCGTCCACACTCATTCAACGTGCCATCATCCACCCGTAACTTCAATACCCAGTGCAAACCCATACGCAAACACACAATAACGACCCGCTGTCGGATGCACCCACTCCCCGCCGTGCCCGCTACGCTACCTTTCTCACCTCCTGACCAACGCCCGTCCTGACGCTTATCCGAGGTTGGGACCCGACCACTCCAAGGACCAAAAGTCTTCCATCGACCCACGACAACCAAGGTTCTCTGGTTCCACGTCCCAATCCAGACACATATGGTATTGGACCTTTATCATAGGCAACTTTAAGGGCTGTCGCCCGGCCTAGTGCGATGTGAGTAGACGATGCAACAAACCTAAATCTCCGACTTCTTCAAGTCTTTGATCAAAAACATACACAACCCGCAACCTGCATGCCCGACCCAGACAAGCCATCGCGCTTGACGTAAATCGAGTCAAACACATAGACCCTCCTGACCACCAGATGCGCCCTCCCTTTGACCACAACAGGCGTCCTGTCGATGCGAGGCGCCCTCTCGAGCGACCCTTTCATGCTAATCACGATCTCTACAGGGCTTCGAGATATTCCTCGAGGTATGACGGGGGAGATCGCGGCGACCGTCGTTCCAGATCGCCTCGCGACCGCTCACCCGATCGTTACGAACGCGCATCACAGTACAGTGACGGCGACCGCCGCCGATCATCCGCCGAGGCGCGCTCCAACACTTCAGCATTCACGAACAACAGAGATTCATTCCGCGACAACCTTCCCCGTGACCCGCCACGAGGGCCTAAGGCGCTTTTAGATCCCCCCAGTGGCCCCAGAGGTGGCGGCTATGCCGGTGACTTTAGAGGACGCGGCAGAGGCCGTGGCCGTGGCTGGGTTCGCGATGACAGCAGAGATCGCGGACGGGACCGTGATATCGATTTCAGAGACCGACGTGATGGGCCGCCGTATCGAGATGAGAGGAGCCGTGAACGCGACCGGGACTGGGATCGACGGGATAGAGAGAGCTATCGGGGACGCCCACGCTCGCCCGGTAGAGGCCGCTCACCACCACAGCGAGATTTCCGCGACAGAGATCCTCCATTAGGCGTCGATGCCGAACGATCTAGGCGCGGCTCAAGGGACGGGGGCCCCCCTTCCGCCGGCTCGTCCAACTCCGACCCCCCCTTCGGCATGGGCCGAGGTGGTTTTAGAGGAGGCCGAGATCGAGGACGTGGAGGATGGGAGAGAGGCAGGGGAGGACGGGGTGGTTTCTACGATGACCGCGATCGGTTCGGGCCTCGCAGTCGCTCTCAGGAAGGGCGATGGGGGGGCCGCGATAGAGACGACCGCGACCGTGGTGACCGCTGGGTTGATACTGAAGTTCGCAGAGACCCCCGAGACGAACCCCGTGATCCCCGAGACCGCGAGTTGCTGAGACCCAAGGTCGACCGAGAACGAGACAGAGGCATGTCTTCCCAAGCACAATCGCCAAACACCAAGGACGTCTCTCCGCCCCCATTGGCCCCTTCAGCACCCGCTTTCGGCACTGTTCCCAGTCGAAACGGCCCGGCCGACGGATCACCCATTATTGGCGGCACCGGCAAACTGCCACCCACAGCCCCAAGAGCCTTCAATTCCGAACGACCCGTCTCTGCCGGACACGGCGGCGGAGGTAACGGCGGCGATTTCCCGGCACCTCCCACTGGACCAGCAAAGATGAATCTTATAGAGGGCAGCCCGCCTATTCCTTCTGGGCCCCGTGCTCAACAACAGAAACAGCAACGCCCCTCAAGTAAGCAGTGGATAAATCCAGCACTAGGAAAGAAGGGCCCCCCCGAGTCGCCCAAGATTATGAGATCACAGAGCTTTGCGCAACAGCAACGCCTGGTACCTTTCCGTCATGAAAGCGTTCCGACAGAACAAGGCGAAAACGACCGGCGCCCACGCAGTAGCGATGCGAAGGCTGACTCTCACAATTCCGCCAACGAAGGCTCGGTAAAGTCACTCAACCTCCCAGAACCTGGCGAAATTGTCATCAAATCCGAAAGAGACAGCTATTCTGCTAGAGGGTCCATGGATCGAGATATGGAGCACCCAGATGATTCAAGGGACACAGTCATGGGAGGAACCGATAACCATGGGTACCAGGAACGTCGGAACCCCCCTCCACGGCGGGAAGCGAAATTTGACACAGCCGACAAAGAC